TATTTAGGAAAAAAATAATGCTAATGAAAATTGTGTGTGTGTAGGGGATATCATCATTACACCATAATAATCTCATATGGTGTCACTTTGCTTCCCCTGGCTAAGTCAACAAAACCACATTTATTATGGTCCAAGGAAAGGAAAGCAGCTAATTCTTTGTTCCATTTGTATCCGGTCATTAATTCCCCTACCCAGTGGTCTAGAGTTTGACCCCCTGGATATTTAAAAACCTGCCCAAGACTTCGGAGCTCTTCTGCTTCTTTTTCTCTTCTTCTAGTTTCTATGGATATAGTTTCAGGGATTGATAAGGATTGTCTTTTGTTGTTGTTTTGTTTAAAACAAAATTATGTAAAAGGTCATGTTTTAAAATTTTTACAGTGTGAAAGGGTTAAAAAGATAGCTATGGAGATTCCCATGGCTTTGGTTAGAAAATGTATTTTCCATCAGCATTTTTCAGGCAACCAAGAAATAAGTTTTCAGAAAAGGAAGCTCAGAATTACAGTTGGTCAGCCAAGATAGAAGACTGTTATTTTAGTAAAAGTGGAAAATGTTGGAGAAGTACATAGGGATAGATAGGCTTGTCATGAGATTTTTGAGAATTTCTGCTCCACTGGGAACTAACAGATAGGAGAAGATGAATCCAGGCAACATAACATCCATTTTCTTCAGCATTCGGAGCCCTTGAGGTTCATTGCTGCAGACATCAACCCCTTTTATTTATATCTCTAGTTGGCCTTCTCTTTCCAGTTGGTAACACCAAGTGTTTTTAGGTCTGTCTGGATATCATCGCTCCATCGTCTTCCTGGTCTGCCCCGTGATCTGCGACCACCCTTGTGTATACAGTTTTTACCCCTTTATTATCATCTGATATTCTCTCAATATGCCCAAGCCATTTCAGTCTATTAGCCCTCATAATTTAATTGATCAGTTGTGATTTAAACAGATAATGAATTTCATTAATAAAAAAAAAAAATAATAGAAAATGCAGTAATGTGTCATGTCAGTTTATTTGTAAATGTACATTAATAACATTCACATTTTCTTTAAAGAAAATAGACAACCCATTTATTGTTTCTGCATAAAAAATGTGTTGTCTTTTTAGTATCACTTTAAGTATTTTGTGTGCCCATTCTAGTGAGATTAATCCACCAGATTTGTTCGAGGCCAAGGTAATGATACCCATTACTGAAACAGTCAATGGATCTCTCCAAGATTCTAGAACTATCTTATTACAAGATTCACCAGCGCCAGTGCAGTACATTACGAATGATCAGGATATTAATGCTCTTCATGCGTAAACAGCCCATTTTAAAACTTTGTTTCTTTATTTTATTTTGTTGTAACCAGTATTTGCTTTATGTAAATTTTATTAACAAATTATCCATTCTTTACGTTTATGCTTTTGACATTACTTTTTTTTTTGTCATTCAGTACAAATTATTTGATTTCAGTTTCTTTTATTTGGCTTATAAATTTCTTATCTTTTTTGTATTGTATTAGTCACATTATGTTAGTCAGAAAAAATGCTTCTCACTGATTATTTTGTCTTTAATTTTGTCTGAATATTTTCAGTCCTTTTTTTTGTCTCCCACAAGCTTTTTCCTTCATGCAGAAGGCAAATAAATCTCCAAGAGTTAATTGAATATATGTAAAAACAAAATATATATTTGAGAACAATATTTTATTTGATTTCTTCTTCTTCTTCTTCTTCACTTCCTCTTTTACCGCTGTGGGTGTCGAGGGAGATATAAGGTTCTGTCTCTAGCTCTTCTGGCTGCCTCGACCATAGGCACATCGTGCTGTTGTAGAGTTTCTCTGATGTTATCCTTCCATCTTGTTCTTGGTCTACCCCGTGCTCTACGTCCTTCTTCTCTTTCCATGTATGCTTTGTATGGTATGGTGTCACAAGGCATTCTCTCTAAGTGGGCAAACCATTTCACTTGCTGTCTTTGTAGGTAATCCAGAATAGGTTCTGTGCCGACTTGTTCTCTTATGATCTCATTCCTGATCTTATCTCTTATGGTCAGTCCTACAGCCCTTCTCAGACATCTCATTTCAGTGGATAATAATTTTCTTTTATGGTTTGTTGTGTGTGACCATGTCTGGCACTGGTAGCACAGAGTTGGAATAACTATGCTTTGAATAAGATGTCTCTTTGTGCTGATTGGGATGGCTTATGCTGTAAGAGGGGGGCTAGGCTGTCCCAATACTTGGTTTGCTTACTGCATCTAATGTCAATTTCTTTATCCAATTTCCCATCTTCGGTAAATATAGTTCCAGAGATTTAAACTCAGATGCCTGTTGTAAGCCTTTGTATTCTATTGCTATGTTTAGATCTGTCTTCTTTTTTCCTATTGACATTACTTCTGTCTTTTCAGTGTTGATTCTCATATTATTTGTTTTACATTCTTCATTCATGGATGTTAGATGTTGTTGCAATTTCATGGCTGTAACTGCTATCAAGGCCTGGTCATCTGCAAAGAGTAATTCGCTGATCTTACTAAGATCTTCATTCATGGGCTTGGCATTCTTGCATATACTGTTGATGTAGGTGATAAACAGCAGTGGTGATAAGACACACCCCTGTCTTACTCCAGATGTCACTGTGAAAGGATGAGATGTTTCCTGATTTATTTTAACTACACTTCTACAATCCCTGTATAAACTTTTGCACACTTCGATGAGGTGTTCGCTTACTCCATATCTTGCCATTATTTTCCATAATAATTGTCTGTCGACTCTGTCAAATGCCTTCTCCTGGTCTACGAATGCCACAAATAAGTTCTATTGTATTCAATGTTCTTTTCTATTAAATGTTTAAGTGTGAAGATTGCATCTGTGCCATTTCTAGTTCTCCTAAATCCCATCTGTTCTTCTGCCAGCTGTGGTTCTATCACTGGTCTCAGTCTTGTTTCTATTATCTTGGCATACATTTTGCCAACATGGTTTAAAAGAGAGAAGCCTCGATATTGACCGCATTCTCGTTTGCTTCCTTTGTTCTTCCACAATGGTATAACTATTGCATGTTGCCAATCAATAGGGGCCGTTTGTTGTACCCATGCTGCATTGAATATTCTGTGAAGCCATATTTGATTTCTGATTCTAACAATTGGTTCGAAATATTCAAAGTATTTAGGTCCAAACATTAGGGCTAAACATTTAAGGTGATTTCTGCATGTGGCTTTTTTCATAGTTGAAGAACATGTTGATATGATGTTTAACATTAGTTTGGAATTGTCTTTCTTTTGTTGTTGTAGCCAAATAGAAATTCTGTTGTTGCAGCACTTGCCTGTCTGTCTGGTGGCTGTGTTCAAATCCTGCATGAGATGTATATTGTTTTTACGTGTGTCTGTTTTGTGGTTCGTTCAGGCTAAAAAGCAAAGATAGGAAAATCTTTTAAAATGTTTGAGATGGCCAGTATGATACTAACTGAATTACCTGCCAAGTATTGATCTACAAATTTGACATTGTATTCAATTATGCAGCATAGCATGGAAGTAGAGATGTACATATTTTCAAACAGTTCATTCTGTATGTTGTTGGAAAATCCTGATAATATGAAATTAAAGCAGTTAAACAGTTAAACAAAAATGCATTAATTTCACAGTAACTTGTTCATTTGCAGTATCATTTTTGGAAAATTAAATATTTAGGCCTAAAAAAAAAAACTGGGCATTACAGAAAAGATGGGCATGGAGTTGCGTGAGGTAAAAGATAATCACTCTGGTGACTTTGAGAATAACAATAATGAATAACAAAACACAATAGTGGCATATTTTTAAAATTTAGTTCTGATTTCTAAAAAATAGCTATTATTTCTTGTATTTTTTAAAAAATCAGAGAATACAGTATTTAAAGAATAAAATTATGTAAACATTAACTTTTTATTTTCATACATTGAAGAGAAATTATACTAAGGAAGGAAAAGTATAAATACATTTTCAGGTATTATACTTGTTAGTCCTGGTGTGGCACAAAGGAAAGTCTTAGACACATATGTATGTGTGTGTTTAAAAAAAACAACAATTGGCCTGTCTTTATTTAGTTTTTTTTAAGCATAAAATGTATCTTATTGAAATATTGTGTCTTTACAAATTTGCATAATATATATTATTTTCATGTAGTTTTTTTAGTGCTTTAAGGATGGACACTTGTATTATCAGTTGTGTTGCTTTTAGCTTTTTGTTCTCCTTACCTTTATTGTAAATTTCAGTCTATTTTTTGTATTTGAAAGTATTTACTAATCAAGTTGTTTGCTACTTTTTTCCTATGAAATGTGGGCATGGAATAAAACAAAGGAGGCAACAGTTTAGTGATAGACCTCTTCTTCTTCTTCTTTTTCTTTTCGTCCTCTTTTACAGCTTCAGGTGTCAAGGGAATATAAGGTCCTGCTTTGTGCTTTTGTGGCTGCTTTGACCAAAGACACATTGTGGTACTGTAGTGTTTCTCTGATATTATCCTTCCCCCTAGTTCTTGGTCAAATTTATCTCGTATGACCTCATTCATGATTTTATCTCTTCTGGTCACTCTTACAGCCTTTCCCAGACACCTAAATTCCATAGTTATTTTTTTAAAAAATGTTTTGTTGTGAGTGACCACGTCTGACACTAGTAGCATAGGGTAGGAATGAATATGCTTTGTATGATATGTCTCTTTGCGCTGATTGGGTTTGCCCTATGCTGTAAGAGGGGGGCTTGAAATATATTATCTGCATCTGCAATGTTGTCTCTAGTATGGACTTCACTTTCTTTTGTATTAACTCTGTGATCTGTAAAGTTTGACTTGCACCAATGTCTCTCTTTGGCCAAAAGTTTTGCCTTGATATGTTGTAATTGGGATAGTCTTGGAGGATGGGATCTGTTGTCTCAGGTGCCAATCCACATGTGCACATGGCTGATTTGCCAATTTGTGGTTATAAAGTCAATTGTGTCCTGTTCTAAGGCATAGAATAATAACTTGCTCTAGTCTGTCCATAATATGGTGATAGACTGACAGATAAGGAAATAAACCGGAACAAAGCATTGTCAGTTATATCAAGGTTATTAAGCAAAGAAAATGTGAAAAGATTACTTGCACCAGCTCAAAAGGCAAAGAAAAAAGAAAAGAAATACACATTACATTGTCTTCAATAGACAGTTAATGCAGTGAAACTCAAGTCAGCTAGTTATATTGTTCTCAGGTTTTCCCAACCATGTGTTCCAACCTGCCAGCATTTTTTGTTACACCCCTTGGTCCGCTGGAACTACTTGTCTGGGTAGGAAGTGGTCAATCTTAAACTTCCACGTAAAGACTGGCTCATTTGTGACATTCATTGGCGGGATTATTTTAACCAGAGACGATGGGATTTGCGTATTTTAAATAGAAAGGATTCACATTTCCAGATGGAATACAGCTGAAATGTCAGGCAATATACTGTAATGTATTGTTTTTGTTCACGTTATTTAAATTCTCAATGGAAAAACATTGTTTTGGAAGTCTAGAAAACTGCCTAAATTTTATGGGACACCTGCCTAGTAAGGAGTGATAAAGGGAGGGAACCGACTTCTCCAGCCATGTTGGAGCTTAGAATTTATGAAGATCCATCACTTAACACTCCCAAAACTATACGCGATGCAATCTATCTTTCATCTCCTTCTCTTGTTTCAATAAAAAACATTTTCTTCGTCAAAGGAATGTATAGTTAAGTGGTTAAGTGCTAGGCTCTCATGCAGGAGACCTGGGTACGATCCTTGGAATAGAGATTTTTTCTTCTCTAGAAGGCAGAAATGACAAATCTGACCTTCACATTATGAGGAGACTGTATAAGCCATGCGACCTTAAATAAAAGCTCAGGCTTATGTCCCCCCCCCCCCCCCCCCCCTCCCATCTGACCACTGTCCTAAGCTACCCTGAATAGGGTAAATATATAGGCAGTAAAAAGAGTTTTCTTCCTTCATCCCGTTGTCTGCTTGCACCAGCCTGCTAATGTCTATACTTTTATGTTGAGCTGTTCAGTGCAAATGAATCTGAAGTTTCAGAAAATCAGAGCAATGTTTCCCCGTTGTGAATTTGAACAAAGAAGACACAAACGATAGATTGCACAGTTTATTGCTGGGCATGTTTTGCATATTTCGAGAGAAGGAAATGCTCGTCACTTTGTGGTTACCTTCATGAAACAAACAATGTGTGTTTCAGTTTAAAGGTTTCATTTATTTGCTTCCTTTTAATCAATTGTTACTGTAGTATGCACCTGACGAGATACCGCAAAATATGCCAGGCAATAAATTGTGCGATCTGTTGTTTGTGTCTTCTTTGTTTGGATTTAAAGTTGTTGAAATATGCTCTTCTTTTTTTTCTGAACTCCTGGAATGCAGTGGCAGGGCAGGAAGAGATCTCTGAAACATGCCTTTCTGTTTGCTTCATATATGATACTTTTTAGTGTCTCCAAAATTTTTGTGGTCCATATTCTGTGTGGTTGACCTCTGGTTCTGTTTATGGCTGTATCTGTATAACATTGCTTCCTGTGTTGCCTTGTCCGTTGCCAATCTTTTTCACCTGGCCAGACCATCCTAAATCATCTTTCCTTAAATATGTTACTCTTTCATAAATCTAGTGTTCGGACTCCTCATAAACTTATCCTTGAGAAATAATTGTAGGGGTTTTCCTTTGATTTCTACATCCACATTAGAGATATTTACATGCAAAATGTTTTTAAATTATAGGTGATTATTATAATTTTTAAAAGTAAATAAGAGAATAATCTAACTATCACGTTTGTCAGTGTCTATGGCTTAGGCCTTGAAATAAGTGCTTCATGACTCTGAAATACCTAGGTTAATTGCAGCTGCAGGTGATTTGGAAGTAGACTACTTTGCATTGTTTACAATGCAGATATGAAATACCTGCTGTCCAGAAAGCGATGGCAGACTACTGAAGGTACAAATTCCTAGTTAAATGTAGCCTTAAAAATGCTTTGACTGGTTATACAGATCCTGTAAAAAAAATATGCAACAAAATAATACTTTGTTAATTTGTTTTTGATTTGTAAAATCACATTCACATTTGAATTAATAATTTTCTCATCCTGGAATAATCAGACCTGAGGGTGGGACAAAGGATTTTTCCACCGATATTCAGAGTATTCTTGCACTGTTGGGTATTTCACACAAGAAGAAACGATTGCAGTCAGTGACCTACCCTTTATCCTCGAAGAGCTCCAAAAATTCAGGACTCCAAGATGATGTTTCTGATGAACTACCAATAAATAAAAATGAAAGGTGAGCTTAAGTTTCTGTTACAGATTAATGTGTGCGTGTAGACCAATCGGCATGCAGGGAATTTTTTTAAAAAAGAATTTTAGGCTGAGCTGACCTGTGAGCCAAGTTCAATTATTAAAAAAAAAAAATGCCTGGTGCAGATTCTTCTTCTTCTTTGTTCATGTCGGTCTGGTATTATTTTTTCAAATCTGCCGTGGGGCTTGATATGACCAAAATATTTCAGCTTCCGATACAAGATGCTTTTTTTTTTCTCAGCCTTCCTTGATGTTCAGATCTGTTAAAATGTCAGTATTTCTTCTATTCTTTGCCCATGGTATTCTTATAATATTTCTATAGCATTTTAGCTCAAAAGCCCCTATTTTCTTTCTCAAGGACTAGAAAGAAGATAGTTAATGACTCAAATCCATATGTTGCTGCAGGAAAGATGCATGTTCTCAAAATTTTAATTTTGATTTCCTTGCTGGGGCTTAACCATAGACCTTTAATGCTGTTTAATATTTGAATTGCTATGGATATCCTCCATTTTATTTATGTCAGACAGTTTCCATTGCTATTTATTACAGTGTCTAGATATTCAAAAGATTATGATATTTTTAACGTTTTCATTATTTATTGTTTTATTTGGGTGACAGCTAGTTTTGTCTGTGGACTTATTTTCATTTTCTTCAAATTCAAGAATAGGTTTTGATCTTTACTGTGTTTTTGGACAGACATGATTACATTTTCTATTCCCTTTTACTTTTTGAAATAGGACTGTGTCATCTATATAGCGAAGTTTCAGAATAGGGTTGCCACCAATTATGATCGGTTCATAACTGTCACATCTGGACATTTTTGACATTTCTCTTTATGTTTTCTGAAAAATATATTAAAAAAGTATGGTAATAATGCACCCCTGCCTCACTCCCTTTTGCACCTTGAACTAATCTGATGTTTCACCAGCTGCTCTGATGGCTGCTTGTTGTTCATGATTTAAAATTTAAATTAGGTGCATCAAATGCGCTGGAAACCCATACAATGAAATGCTTTGCTGTAATCAATGAAACGAGCATGAAGATCTACGTTGTATTCTCTACATTTTTCTAAATTTATTCTCATATTAAAGATGTGATCTCTAGTTCCTCTACCCTGTCTGAAACCTGCTTGTACTTCATGTAGCTCAAATTGTAATTTCCTTTCAATTCTTTTTCCTGATAATTCGTAAGAGGGTTTTGCTGGCATGACTTTTTAATGCGATGGTACAGTAGCTAGAGCATAGTTTTAGATTTCCATTCTTTCGGAAGGGGATATAGATTGTTCTTTTCTGTGCTATAGGCCAAATGGTGCTGTTCCAGATCTTTTTTGCACAGTGCCTGGTAGATTCAGACACAGGCCTCTCCTCCTGCCTGAATTAGTTTTTCTGGTATTTTGTCGCAACCTGGTCACTTTCCTTTCATTAGACTGTGTATTGCTAATCTTACCTCATCCAGTTAAGACTCTCATTCTTTATCATCACTATTCATAATTTGTTCTTGAACCACTTGTCAGACCCTTATACATTTTTCTAGAAAAATTGATCTTTCAAGTTTAGAGTCATTCCCCAAAGGTAGGTTTTGTTTAATATGAAAGGAGGTAATCACCAAATGATGAGACCTGAGCATCTGAAAAGAAACGGATTAAACACAAATGTTGACAACAATGGTCCTGAAATTCCATGCTATCATTGTGGAAGATTTTTCTTGACACGGGCGGGACTTGTTAGTCACACTCGACCATCGCCATGGGCTGTGAGTCTCATGCCTCCTCATAGCATAGTATAACACTATCGTCTGGAAAGATGGAAAGGTGCCAATAGAAAAATCACTAAATACAAACGGTGCACAGAAATAACTGCTTTCCTCCCCTTGGACCAAGAGAACACAGGTTTTGAGGACCCAACCACAGTGAGCGAAGTGACATCATCATAAGTTTATTATCATATCATAGTGACCCCCCCCCCCCTTTTCCCAGATAGATTTGTGTCACCTCAAATAATATCTAAAAAAAAATGTATGTGTAAATATAATTATACTCATGTTTACACACTTGCAGTTGCAGCGTCCCAAGCTGCCACATTGGTGTATTGGCTACTGTCCAAAGACGTCCTGTCATCAAAAACCCCTAGAAGTAGGAAAACTGGCTTTCTCAGGGCAACAGGGTTCACTTAAAACTGAGAATTTTGGAGATTTTTTTTAACCGAGAGCATCAAATCGAGCTATCTGCTTTATGTTCTGTTTAAGTGAAATGTGGGGAAAAAACAAGCAAGCAAAGCATTTCATGGTCATGTTTATATTTTAAGAATATGTTCCGCTGCTACAATCTCAGATATTTCTGAGATGCGGAAGATTAACTAATACATTTCATGCTTTCAGATCATTGTTACTGCTTGAACTATGCCAGCTTTGCCTTGAACTCAACATGAATCAGCTGGCCTTGGTTTGTGTAGAAGCCATGAAACTGTGTGACTTTCAGGTACTGCACTAAAGGCTCCCTGTCTGGGTTCTAGCGCCTCATTTTGTTGGAGGAAAAAATAGATCTCCTGTCCCCTTACAAGCATGCAATAAAATGCAACTATTTAGGGTTTTACTTATGTATATTTTCCTACTGTCTTTATATACCACTTCTGCGGTGTAGGGGGGGGGGGTCTTTTGAGCCTGAGGTTTAAAGCTGCATGGCTAGTGCTGTAGCCACGACTGTGCAGGTGTGGATTTTATTTTGCCCTCAACTTAAAAAATTGTCAGCCTTACCGAGGATTTGAACCCGGGTCTCCTGCATGAGAGCACATCGTTCTGACTGTTCAGCTAGCCGCTTTTACTCATGTATTGGGTAACAAAAATATAGATTTCACAGTCTAGCTGTAAACCACAACACTTTTTGCCAACAGCTCTTTTTAGAATGAATGCAGAAAAAGAAGAACAAATACATTTGTTAAAAAAAAATCATCAAACTTCAAATGAGACCATAAAGTTGTAAAAGCACATACAGATGAACATTACCACCAAGATGTTTTTTTTTTTAAATGAACAACAATAATCTGATTGTTAAATTAAAACAAGAATCAAATGAAACTGAAAATTTCATCCTCATGATGATCATCATCATCAAAAGCCTTGCCGACTGGTAGGGCCAATCATGCCTCTCTACAAGCTGCGATCTTCAACAGTGGATGTCAGTTCGTGTGTTGACACCCCTCCATGCCATGACAAAGGGCTGTCACATCATGTTCCAGTTTCATTCTTCTCATAATACGACACAAAAATTATGACTGTTTCTTTCTGATGTTTGTGATAAGTTTTCTTCGAACCTTGGCATCTTTCAATACATCTAGGTTGCTCTTTTTGCCTGTTCAAGAAATTGACACAAAAAAAGCCACATCTCCAAGGCATCAAGACATTGTTTGGCTTGTTTATTAATTGTCCAGGATTCACAGCCATATATTAGAAATGTTTTTGTACAGCATGCAAGATTTGTTTTTCCTAAAATCCAGTGATATGGATTTATTGCATTAAATGTTCTTAATTTTATAAAATACAGTTTTAGCTTGTCCTTTTTTTCATTTCTGTGACAGATCTTTCTTTGGATGTTATCCATGTGCCTAGATACTAAAATTTCTATGCGTGTCCTAAAATGCCTTTGAATTTTATTGTGTATTTAGGCGCTATTCTTTTCTTTGATATTACCATTACTTCAATCTTCCCTTTATTCAAGCTGAGCCCATTTTCTTATCTATGCCAGCCCATGCGTGCAACCACACAAATCCCCAAATGACATTAACACAATTCCTTAAAAATAAAAAAAAAAAAAACACGAAAAGGCTCACTTAGCTGTTAAAACATAAATCCTAGAGTCTTGAAATCCTAGGACACAAAAAAAAAGTGAAACTCTTTTGGAAATTTAGGCTGTATGGCAAAAGAGAACTCAACTGGAAGATTAGATTGTTTTCCAGAGTTTTATTCTCTCTTTCTTGAGATGTATAAGACTTTATAGTATGTGACCTTGATATCATGCAGGCCACATTGATATGATTTATAGAAATGTATAGACGCCAGTTTATGATCACTGTTGTTAACATCCAAAACGACTTCTTCAAAAGGGTCAGCTGATACTCAGTGACCTAGTAAGGTAAGCAAAGGCAGCAATTTTTTGTAGGAGAAAGCAAGAGTGGGATGCACAACCGAGCAAAGAAGGGGAGGATATCCCACATACGTGTGGGTATGTCTCAGGTGTGATGGGTGAGTTATTTGTTGAAGAAAAAATTTAGGGGCCATAAATGGTATCTGCATATTTCATCTGTGAAGATCACGATAACATACCTGAAAACCAAATTTCAGCAGAGCTAAGGAGTTCGTGCTTTGTGTGATGCTCTTGGCAGGTGGTTAACCATTCTGTGGAATGAATGAACTTTATTTTCAAAGGGTCACAAATGGGACACGCAAGCCCGCCTTACATTCGGCCCTTCCAAACACCCATCTTTCACACAGCAACAACGACAGTGAAATTTATCCAAGAGACAAAACTGGTGATATAAACAACTTATTTCAGGCGAACGAAAGAAGAAGAAGAAGACACAGCAGTTGTAGTTTATCAGTAAAGCTTGTTATGTCGATATAATAATATATTATGAATATCAAGCAAAAATACAAAAGCACGAGTGGTAAAATGCAGGAGCAAGCTTGCGCACGCACACACACACACACCCACATGTAAACCCACTCACTCACTTACACACACACATATGCACCCACAAATACACACACATCCACGTACAATACATACATGATACATACATACATACACACGCTCATACACACACTGTCACACACACAGACACACTCTCACAAACACACTCTCAAAGACCCAGAGGCTAAGCCATATGGGATAAAACCCTGCACAATGAAGTCGATCCTCTTGACTTTTGACTTTATCTTGAACAGTCAGTTGGTAGTTCTCTTAGTGTATTATGAATGAAACTGATGAACAAATGGTAAAACATTGACATTGTTGTATGTTGACAGGATTCAAGTTTCCACTTACAGCTGGCATTTATTGAATGTCAGCTGATGATCTGTAACTTGGGGGACAAACAGGAATCATACCAAAAGTCTGTGGTCGATGTGAGTGCATTACTGAATTTGACTTGCTCATTTATAATCATCATGTAGCGGGCCCTTTTCAGAGTGTCGCTCCCAACACAGTTTGTCTACAAGAAAATCATTCCATCACCAAAAGTCCCGCCTCATATACTTTCATGCCCAAGGTGTTACTTAAGTGTTGTACCCATTATCATGCAGTCGCTGCCCCTTTTACCCAATAAAATGTTCCCTAACACTGTTGTTTCCCATCCGCTGTAGCACTTGATATCAGCAAAGTATTTCAGTTTCTGAGACAAGATGCTGTTAATGAGCCAATTTTCACTGATGTTAAGATCTTTTAGGCTGTCAGTATTTCTTTTCTTCTTGGTCCCTGGCGTTATGAATTTTTCTATAGAATTTCAGCTCAAAAGCCTTTATGTTCTCCCTTAATGATTGCAAGATGGTCCAAGTCTCACACCTGTATGCTGCTACAGGAGAGATGCTCTCAACATTTTGATGTTTTATCATGCCATAAAAAATACTTTGGTCATAGTCAATTTCACAGTGACTTCGAAAAACACTAACTAGTTCATGGTATTGTTCCTGAAAGAAGAGACAGGCGCCAGCCAGCATGTAGACAGACACAAAAGACAACTTGGGCATGATACACCAGGCATATAAATTGAATTATGATACATATTTGTAAGGCTACATCAGCTGTTAAAAGCCCGAACAAAATTTGGAACTTCTAATTATATAGTTTAGGAAACAAGTTAAATACTTTATATTTTGTTATTTCAATTTTAATATATGCCAGAAAAGTTGAGGAACCACTGAAAACGTTGAATAAAGGTTAAATGCATTAAAAAAAAACAATTGAACATTAAATAGGATGAATTTCAAGAAAAGTGAAGAAATAAGAGAAATGCCTGGACAGCCATTGGCATTGAGAAACAAGAAGATGGCATTATGATAGACACACCTTAAGGAGAAGTGGACAGAGAATTACCAAACAGCACATAAATGGGAAGCAAATGGATTGAAGAAACAATGTCCAAGACAAACCTTAGATGAATGTTTGTTGAAAGGTGCTCGACTGGATTCAATCCTTGATATCAAAAGACTTTGCATAGGATAGAGCAGATTGGTTGACCTATGTGACGTGTAACCACGATAGGATGATGAAAATATTGTTTACAGTTGAATCATTTATGTATTTACATCATCCATCTAGACATAAGGTTGGAGTCTGTTGCTAATCAAATATCCTAATCCCAGCCAGTTTACGTATATTATGCAGAAAAATGACTTGGTTATATTAATATGGGAGCCACCCTGGTATAGTGGCTAGATGCTCACCTGTGGATCCGGAGGCCATGGGTTCGTGTCTTGATGGAGCCCGACCAGGTAAAGTCTAGGAAGAAAAGGTGGCTGGCAGGATGTTGACCACATCACCAACGGATTTTAGTCTGTAAAATATAGGTCTAGCCTTGTATGGCCAATACGCCCAGTACGCTTGAAGACATGTTAGGGGGTCCTTTACTTACTTCACTTTTTTATAATTATATGCCTTTTTGTAAGTTTCCTTATGTGTCTTCAACATCCTACTAGTTTGGAGAAGGAAAGAAGAAATCATTTATATAGCCAACATGGAAATGGTACTTTTATTTGGAATGAGGATTGAAGCTTTGACATCAGTCTCACTTTAATTTATTCAAAACCCAATCTGGGTTTATATGACAAAGCACCAGTGCACCATACTTGATTTAAACTGATCCAGAATATTCACCATGCAGCAACCACATAATATATAACTGTGACAGTTTTCTTGTTGACTTTATCTGCACTGCATCAGTTGCAAAATATGTTTGTTAGATTCGTCTTCAAGCTATCAAGATATGTGAAGAAGCAGTCAGGAATTCTGTGAGGCAAGGTGACCACAAGTTGATTCAGAAAGGCTGTGTAACACTGTGGAACTTGTGCTTGCCACTACTGCAGCCAAATCTGAGGCATCGTGTTCGCAAACCACTGACCATGATTACAGATGCTTTAGAAGATATAGAAAGGTAAAGTATTTCATGTTTTGTGTTTGTGACTGTTATTGATGCTACTTATATCTTGTGGCATTGAGACTTTTGCTAGTTTTATCGTCATCAGGTCAGGTGCCTTGCCGACTGGCTTGGGCGATCATGCCTCTCCACAATCTGCAATCTCCTGCAGCATGTATCAGTTCGTGTGCCGACACACTTCCATGCCATGCAGCAAGACTCTCAAGAATCTTCTATCCTTGTCTTCCACTATCCCTCCTTCCACAAATCTTTCCAGTGGTCACAACATGTTTCATTTTCCCCCTTCTCATAACTTGGCCGAAAAAGGATGACTGTCTGCTTCTGATGTTTGTGATAAGTTGTCTTAGGGCTCCCGCTTCTTTCAAAACCTCTTGGTTGCTCTTCTTGGCTGTCCAAGGTAGTTTAAACATTCTTCTGTAAAACCACATCTCTGAGGCCTTAAGAAATTGTTTGGCTGCCTACCGATTGTCCAGGACTCATGGCCATATGTTAAAACTGGATGTATGTAGCAAGCAAGAATTCTTTTTCTAACCTTCAGTGACAGAGATATATTGCATAAGGTGTTCTTCATTTTATAAAATGCAGTTTTTGCCTGTCCTGTTTCTTATCTCAGTGATGCATCTTCCATCTGATGTAATCCATGTGCCAAGATACTTTACTAGTTTAGCTTAGAAAAAAAAAGGCCTCTTTCCTTCATGTTTTATGTTCAAAAGGGCTACAGAAAGTGACTGAAAAGGGGAGCTAAGGAATCTTGTTTGCCCATCTCCTCAATCACATTATTATTCATTAAAAATTTATAATTTTGCTACCACTTAGAAACATTTACTAAGTAAGAGACATTAGTGCATACCACTTGTGATATGGATGCCTAATGCTTGTAATGCATTTTTGGCTTCTTTTGACGCACAGAATGTCTTAATTTGTGCACAAAAATTCTAACATTCTTTTGTAGAATATATATCTGCAGTGTTCCAATCATCAATAGTATACTAATCTGCCCTAATACGGGATGCAATGTTTAAAAATTAAAAACCCCCACCCCGGCTGTCATCGGGGTCCTAAATGGAGTTTGATGGACTTGCGCCTTGGCGATTCTCCTCCAAATAGTGGCATTTTGTGTCACAAGGTGTTTATCCCTCATTGTTTGGTCCTGGCGGGGTTGAACGTCACTAACTGATCATCATCATCATGCACATAGTTTTATAAAATTCCATGTAAACAACTGTGCCATCATTAACTGTTTCACTTCTGTATAAAGCCTACTTGTGGAGCTGAGATGTGAGGCTCACATAGAGCTGGCCTGTTGCCTTGAAGATCAGGAGCAAGTCCAGGTGGCATTAAACAACTTAAAAAAGGTAAGGGATTTGCAAGAATGATCTGACAATAGAGTAACAGTTTCATGCCTTGGACTCTTAGAGAGAGATGTATCAAAAGTACTTGAATATAGTATGACCAGGACATCTGATGTTAGCAAGTGTGGCATAGCATCCAGTGCTTTTGTGTGTGAGTTCAATATCCGGAAGTGGAAGGATTTTTCATGACCAATATGCCAGTATGACTCTAGGGTGCAAACACTCTCTTAAAGATGGATACCAGATTTTTTTCCCCCGTAGTTTTCTTGGAATTTTCTGGGGAAGTTAGGCTTTGAGGTTAAATGTTAAAAGTCAAAGGTGAAAGGATTGACCTCATGGCACTGGGTTTTATCTCAGGCTGTGAGGAAAGGAGCTAAACACCCCACCTCATGTCATAGCCTAACAGTTCACATACCAGTGACAGTATCTGATATAAAACTATCATTACCTCATCTGAAACTAAATATAAGTAAAGGCCCGTTTATGCCAGTGGCACATTAGGCATCTGAGCCTCTCTGGTGTAGTGATTTAACAATTGCTTACAGATCTAAAGTTTTTATTTTTTTTTTATTTTTTAAAAATTTGAATGGAACAATTTTTTTTTCACAAAAAGAACCTTGGCTCTCAGATCTTGAGTGGGTGCCAGCTAAAGACCTAGGAAGTAATGGTGGCTGGCATGACATTGACCACATCACATACTTATTGTAGATTTGCCAATAAAATATAGATCTATGCCCACTATTCCTGAAGGCATGAAAAAGGGTCCTGAACTTTTTTGTCTTGTTTTGTTTTTGTTGTTGTTGTAACTTTCACATTAGACATATGAGCATGGGATGCTAGACTTATATTTGTGTAGACCAGTCAGCACTCGCTGGATGATGTGGTCAGCATCATGCTGGCTGCCTTTACTTCTCAGGACATTACCTGTTACCTATTTTAGGTTGGGTCATCCTGGGAGCCAATATTAATTTAGAAAAAAAAAATGTGTTTTGATGTAGATTCGAGCCCAAAGCCCTCAGAGTGGCAGGTGAGTACCTAGTCGCTATACCACTGCAGCTGAGGGTACTAAATATGTAAATGAAGAAATGCAACAAGCATTCCCCAGGCATAAATTATCACTGTTGCTTTTGAATTTAATTATAAAATCTCATTGTTTCAAGCATTTTCCCTTGATGTTAGCTTGATGTATACAAATCTCATTGCTTCAGGAATTTTTCTTGATGTTAAAAAAAAAGAAGAAAAAAATCTCATTTGCTTCAGGCATTTTTCCTTGATGTTTGATTGATTTAAAAAAAATCAATCTCATTTGTTTCAGGCATTTTCCCTTTATGCTGGATTAATTTATTAAAATCATATTGTTTCAGGCATTTATCCTTGATGTTAGATTGATTTATAAAAATCTCACTGTTTCAGGCATTTTTTTGTATGTTTGATTTTAAAAAATCTCATTTGCTCAGGCATTTCTCCTTGATGTTTGATTGATTTTTAAAATTATCATTTGTTTCAGGCATTTTCCCTTGATGTTAGATTGATTTTTTTTAAAATCTCATTGAATCAGGTATTTTTTAAAATGTTGATTTAAAAAAAATATAAATCTTATTTGTTTCAGGCATTTTTCTTGATGTTAGATTGATTTATTAAAATCATATTGTTTTAGGCATTTTTCCTTGATGTGAAGAATGTGTACCGTGAGAGGTTGGAAGTTTTGCTCCGCAGACTAGAGCTGAGATCTCAGCTGTACATGCAACCAGCAAGACCAGAAGATCATGCTGCCATGATAATTGAGCAGGTCAGCTAATGGATAATTTGTTACTGATGTAGAATTTCTCTTGTGCCGACTAGATAAAAACATGTATTAATTTGTTCATGTACATTTTATCCTAGAGTGACGTGGATTAGATATAATGTTTCAGTTGATTCTATACTAAACAGTTAATGCAAAGACACACATAAGATGAAATATTTCAACTCATTCTGTTTTAAATAATTTATACTGATATGGATTAGATAAACTGCAAGTGATTCTATTTTGAACAACCTATAGAATAACATGGATTAGATAAATGTTTGTGACTGATTTTGTCCTAAATAACTGAATCACGTGGATTAGATATAATGTTTTAGCTGATTCTATTCCAAAAAACTTATACACTGACACCGACTATATAAGTTTCCACACATTTTATCCCTAACAACTTGTACAGTGACTTGGATTAGACAAATATTCATTGCCTAGTCAACAGCTGTCCTAATAAGTTGGATATGTCATCCAAAAAATCCAAGTATAACAGTTCTCCTGTAAAAAGGCATAATGCAGTTTATTTCCAAAGCAAAAATACTGGATGAAGGAGATAAATCTTTCAATAGGTCCTACTCTGATTAACTTATGCTATACATCCGGACTAGATAATGTTTCAACCTAATCTATAGTGGAACAACTTCTACAGTTGCTTTAATGTATCAAACTGTTTTTTTAAATTATATCCCGAACAACTAATTCTATCCTAAACAATTTATACAATTCCTTTAAATAAAATGTAGTAACTGATTTTATCCTAAATTTAGTTTAAATGTTTGCTTGCACATTTAAATTTAAAAACTGATTCCATCCTACACAGTTAGTATTATTTACTTGCATTCTGTAAATATAGCAAATGATTCTGTTCTGAAGAAATAATATAGGCCTAATTACTTACACTACAAGAATGTTGTAACTAAGTAAGAAAAAGAAACAGAAGAATGAAATAGAGTGTATTGTTCTGGACTGATTCGTTTTTGTGTGTGTCAATTTTTTTTAAGGCCCAGAAAGCAGATTCTGGCACCATTAGGATGAAGCGTTCTGTGCTCGTGAAAGCTGGGGAAATACTAGCACCAGACGCTTTTCTAGTGGTTCTTGACAGCGAAAATGATGCCAAAGGTGGGTTCTTCTTTGTTTAAATGTAGATTATCGTTATTCTCTTCACCATTTGTAACTTTTGGTGTCAATCATCTAGGGAAGGATAGCTGGGGGTTCAGAGCTTGATATCACTGGCTGTTTTCATTCTTTGTGAATGTATAACACATTTATCATTTTCTTGGGCATCCTTTTGCTCTTGTGTGAGATTTTCTTAGAAGTAGCTTGTGTTAGTAACTGGTACTTTAGCATTCTAACAGAATGGCTTAAACTATGTGATCTTTTGTTTCTCAGTGTACAGTAGAACCTCAGGATACCAGTGCACCTGGATATGAGTTTTTCAGGATAAGAGGTTAGGCTCATCAGTTTTTGTTTGTCCCACAAATATGAGTCAAAATCTAGGATGCAAGCTGGAGAAATGAAAACTCTGTGAGTTATGCCTGGTCATCTCAGTAACTTTTAAATGGATTAAGTCTCATTGACAGACTCTGAACAAAAACTTGAGCCAGTCGAGATGGCACTTAATAATGATGAACTGTTAATCATGGTAAGAAGTCACTTATGTGTTTACAGCTGGTCAGTGCGAATCAGAAGAAGAAGAAGGTAATGACAAGAAACAGATCTAAAATAGAACCACAAGTAAGGGATTAGCAATTTGGACTTCACCAGTAGGCAGATATTTTCATTGGATTCATGGTTGCAAATGTGCAGTTATGCATTAGAAGTCAGCATGCTTTAAACAGTTTTGTGGGAGATCAGGGGTTCCATTTGGGGTGAGGTGGGGAAGGGGGGGGGGGGTGGAAGTAGACCAACTGCTCCTTGCATGTTGTGAAAGTTGACTAATTAATTAAGGATTTGATGAAATTGGATGTCATGGTCCAAAAGGTGAACATACAGCATGTAGAGGTAAACTACAATACAGTGTGCAACCCTCCCCTCTTCCCTTCTCCTCCCCCCTTCCAAGGTAAACATACTAGTAGAAGAAAGAATCTGTATGCATGTTAACATCATTGCTAAATATAATTGATACTGAAATCATCTCCTTACACAGAAAAATTAGAACAGTTATTTGCGATTAAATGCAACATTTTCTGAAATGCCTGGAAGAATGCCACTGAGAATCTATACATAGCAAATGTTTGTTTTACCTTGTGACATATGAAGGGATATAGGATAACTATATTCTTGAATTCTTTAGTGCTTATTTGACAGTAATATCTTCTTTGGTTTGTTTAATTACCAGAACATTCAGTGTCTTTCACCAAAAACTTGGCAGGAAAAGTTTTACATTTCAAAACCTGTGTGAGCAAAGCAGAAGGGCATTTGCAAAGATTAGGCGATGAAAACTGTAGAGAAAGGTCTGTTTTATTGTTCATTCTGTATAGTGTTGTAGCTTTGATATTTTTGGATGACTGCACACATTGGGTAGACATTTTTACAAATGACCGGGTCCAGATGCTCTATATTGGGGAACAAAGAATAGATCCACAGCCCCTCCCTCACCCCTAGCTAGCATGTTGTAGGAAGTGACTAATTAGGGGTGTTTCATTCAGAGTCAGAGAGCATCTGCCTGACAAGCAAGCAATCAGCAGGCTGCATACCAGTAAGCCAGATCTGTGAAACATAAGTGCATACAAAACTTAGGTTCTGGATCAAGACCAAAGTCCAGAAGTGGATGAATGACAAGAACTTTCTGTCATAGTTCACATCTAGTGAATGCTAAGAAGAAGAGGAGAAGAGTTACAAATAAGGGCAGTAAAAGTGGCTTGTTTGATGTGAACTATATAATCAGACAGTTGTAATTATAAAAGTGGAGGTCTGTTTACGGTGATGGAATAACTCATCTAACCTTAATCTTTGTGCTTAATATATAGGTGTTCAAGGCAGTCAGCGTGCAGATTATCCAGCAGACAAAGCGGTTACCACATCTGGTCCAGCACTGGATAGGAGGGATGTCATTAATGCCATGCAAGCTGCACGCCTCACAGAAGATCACCAATACAAGCAGGACTCAGCTTGGTGGACATGAGGATGCAGTCTGGAGTAGCTAGACATGAACCTTTTACCAAGGGCACTTGGCGTCTGATTAATCAACACAGAATGGAGCATGATCACTCATTTAACTCTTGGGACCTAATGAGGAAGAGATCAGATCTGTCCAGATACTGTGATGATAGTCCTCAATCACTCACCTATTTACTATAAAGATGTTTCTGTAGAAACCAAATGAACATTTGATTCTAAAACTGATTTCAGAGCCAGGCTATGGGCAGATCTTGCCAAGACGGCCCGCAGACAGGAAGTGTGGGATGTGTGCAGAGTGGCATGCAGATTTTGCTTATTATATGATAATGGCTTCTGGCAGAACATATCTGATGGGTGAGATATGTTGATTTATGAACTAGCAGAAAAACATTTGTGATTTTGACATAATTATTTTTGTGATGAACTTTGCTGTCATACATTGTAGGTGATAAGTTTTCTACAGAACTTTCTGTCACCAGTGGTGCTTGTCACATTCAGTGGTGGCTTTTAGGTTATGTCATCTTTTGATGTCATATTTTACATTGTGCTAAAACATACAACGATCAAGTACACAAGTTCTTAAAAGATGAAGGCAAGAGGTTGACTGTAATACAAATGGGAGGATAATATCAAAAGATTGACAAACAGTAGACCAGTATACCTCGGAGTTTACAACTAGGGCTAGAGACAATGTTGGAGAATTTTTTTAAGCCTGTCTTCATTATGGAGGCAGAACCTGACTGACTAAAAAAGTCAAGAGGATCAACTTCATTGCAGTAAAAGTAAAAGTAAAGATCCCTTTCCACGCCTTTAAGCGTATCGGGCATATGGGAAGAGCGCCCATATTTTTACAGACCATCAGCACTTGGTGGGTAATTTGGTCAGCATTATGCAGGCTGTCTTTACTTTCCCAGGACAGCCCATCATAGTACCAATTTTAGGCTGTGTCGACCTGCGACGCCCCATACCAGGATAAAAATCCACGCAGCCAGCAGTGGGTTTCGATCGTGGTACGCTGGATTACGAGTCGGACTCGCAACGCCTAAGCCACCGACGCCGCTTTCAACTTCATTGCACCGGGTTTTATCCCATACGGCTCCGTCTCTCTCTGTAGGATGGCTAACCACCTGTCAAGAGCATTGCACAATGCATGAACTCTATAGCTCAGGTGACAATCCTGAGAAATCTCTGTAAAAATGTCACTCATGAATGAAACCACATAGCCATGAATGAATCCACGACCTTCAGAGAGCGAGGCAAATGGCTTGTACACTTTGCCACGGAGACTCCTTGACTAAGGAAAGGAAAAATAGAAATAAATGTTTAGGCATTGATTAGTTCTTTTTCTGGCAGAAAGCAGAATTTGTCATGTGCATTTGTATACATACTCATTATTTGTAAAAACTGTTATTTGTGTAAGTGTGTGTGTATGCGTGCTCACCTATGTGTGTGCTTTGTGTGAGTGAGTGCATGTGTGTGTGCTTGTGTGTTTGTATGTGTGTGTGCGTGCTTGCCTATTTTAGCATCTTATATTTATATGTTTATATTTAATCTCTGTTGATCCATCCATCATCTCTCCACCTTCCTATCCAGTCATCTGTGCAAATAGGACATTAAGAAAAAAAACATTGTCGCTGAGTAGTTTTAATAAACAAGTAACCAGTCAGATTAACAGAAAGATACGCAAACAAACAAAAGCAGTTAGACAGATGTCTGTTCACCCAAAAGTATTGAAATTCAAATCTGCATCGACACTGATTTCTGTAGTTGACCTTCAGCTCTCAGATCAACCCAGCCTAAAATTAAAATGGGTACCAGGAAATATCTAAGGAAGTATTGGTGACAGCCTGATGTTAACCACCTTCCTGCTGGTGTAATAAGTGTGCTTTGCTAACATTTCCTGCACATCTGTGTAAAGCATATATGAAACATATCCATCAAGAAAAGAAAATGGAAGTATATTTGATCATGTTAGGTTGCAAAGGAACAATTTATTAAGATGTCATAGTTCATTCTTTTTTTAATTTTTTAATTTTATTTCATCACTGTCGATATAGAAACAAGAACAACTTTAATGATTATCAATTCTACGATGAATATGATGACAAGTCAGTCTTAAGAAGTGAACACCAGACATCTGCAGTGGAGACCACCCAGCTCTACGACAGAGATCTTACTCGTATGATGGGAGAAATCTCTTTTATATATGGAGAGGTCTGAGAAGTTTTTATTTTTTTTATTTTTTAAAGTGTTATGCTGTTAAGAGATTTGCAGTTATTTCCCAATGCATTATCATTCAGATGTTTAACTGGTTCATTACCAAACAGCTCACCATACATTTCTTGCTGTTTCCATTGATGATATAATGTAATTGTTGTCTTTTATCACAGACAGATGTTATGTCAGGCCTTTTATCTCACAAAAACTAAGAAGAAAATAAAAAGGGTCATGAATCAGTTGAAATTCCCAAACAAAATCCTACCAGACCTGAAGCCCTGAACCTGTCCCCTTTACCTGGGCTCCTGGGCATCAGCGCTAAAAAACCAACATGATGTACACAAATATTAGTTACATGCAAACAAGTGGTTAGAATAAGATGAAATTTGGAGACATTGTGAGAAATTGGTTTACCTTTCATCTAGCGCCAATATTTCACCTTTTGTGCTAGTCCATCCAGCAGGATGAGCCTTGTTTCACATAGTGAACACCAGATGTTGCTGTTTGATGTACATGCCCCCCTTCTCTATCCTCATTGCACATCCAACAAGTCCATAAGCATTTGGATCCTATCTTTAGCATATACCCCAGCATGTGGCGACTGATAACAACAGTTCTCCGTTGGTTTACTATTCTACTTTAGCTACCTGTATAGTGTTTATGTTTGGCGACACCTCTTTTGACCTGAAGTTCTTATAGTCTTTTGAGATTTGTCTATTCAAGGTCATCTCCTGAATCGTCTTCTGTCCTGCCTTCTTGAGAGCATTGAGACTGTCGGCTTGGTCCATTGATTTTCCTGCCCCACCCAGGATTTTCTTCTTTATAACCTGCTACCCTTCTTCCTGCAAGTCTGACTGTGCATGGATCGTGTGTATCAACACTGATTTGCAGATTTGCACGTGCTCGGCAGATCACTGTTCTCACTTCCATTTTGGAAGATCAAGGAGGTAACTTATTGATTTGCATGCTGTATATTTTTGTGTGCATCCAAATATTATGTGCATGGCCTCATTCTGTATCCAATTTAGTCTGTGTACAGCTAAGAGTCAGAATCTCCAGAAGCGTACTCATTTACTGAAAAAAATCAGACCCTGGTATAAGAAAAATTGGTGCAGTTGCTCAAAGTTTATCACAGACATAATCCTAAGCGCTGTCAAACCTCTCTCTGCCTTCATTATCAATCACATGGTTCGCATGCTGATAAAAAGCAAGAACTAAAGTCAAAACACACTCCTAAATATTTCCTTGAATGAATTCTCTCAATGGTGTTTTTATAATATGGTTATTGAGTGAAAATGATTTCTTCGTTGACTTTGACACATTGACAGCAGCTCCAGCTTCATGGCACCACCTGCTTATGTGATCAGGTTCTGTCCGAAGGCTCTTGGCAGCCTGCTTCTAGTCTACACCAAAACATCATCAGAACACATTAGTGTCCTTCCTGGTACCGCTCACCTGTGATTCTCATGGTAAAAATGTTGAGAAGCATTGGTGATAAATGTGAACCGATGAGATCCAATTAATGAAAAAACAGGCTGAGACTGAGATCAAGAGGCTGACCAATCTCTTCATTGATTGTTGCATTTTTAATGCTTCTAGGGTAGATACTCGCCGGTTCTTCCAACTTTTTATCAGACAGCTGAGAAATATCTCCATAGCGGATGCCATTTGGACCCAGTGCACTGTTTTTTCCCTGCCTCAACACAGCCCTGATTTCACTCACACACACACAGTCTTTTTCCTCCATGTCGTGTGCATTACAAATACCTGAAACGTGTTCTGGCAGCTTGTCTGCTTATTATTCTTTTCCTCACTATATGTACTTGTCAATGTATGTTAGCTTATTTCTCATGCTGTTTCAATGGCCTCAAAGCCAATATTTTCATGTTTAACTTTTTATAAGACTTATTGTAAAATTATGAAATACAACTGCATGTAAGAGTATGTTTCTTGAAGTTCATTGCAGAGCCTGATTACTTCAAGTGGCTTCTGAGGCAAAGGACCCTTTTCCCTGCGTTCAGCGTATTAGGCATAAAGGGCAAGACCTATATTTTATAGACGAATCGGCACTTGGTGGCCTGGTACCCAGTCAAGGCTTGATCGACCTGGGAGCCACGGTCATTTTTGAACAAAGCCCGGTTCCGCCAGGACCCAAACATAGGACCTTCCGATCTGTAGGCGAGCATCTAGCCACTACACCATGGCTTATGGTGCACATAAAGTTAAGTATTGTTATAACTGTGACTGCTGTTAAAGTATACAATAAAACCATGAGCTTTGAAAATTGTTTTGAACATTGTCTGCTGCAGGCTCTGGTTCAGTTTCTGAGATCTGAGAACGTACAACTAAATGACAAACCTGTGCCACCAGAAAACCAGGCAAACATTTATAAAAGCATTAACGGCATAAGCATAGACCAGGATAATGACTGGATCACATACTGGTAACATACTATGTAATTTTGTTAAAATTTTTCCTTCAGTTCATAAAATAGGCAGTTGTGTCTCTAAATATTTGTCTACGTTTATTAGACTTGTTTATTTAAAGTACAGGACCCTTTTTCCATGCCTTAAGGCCTTAAATAACCACATGTGAAATGCACTGTCTCCGCAAGGTCACGGTCACTAACAGCACTAGACGAGACAGGGTTTACCAATACCAGCATTAAAGAGAAAGCTGGAATAAAACCATTTCTGGATTATCTTGACAAAGAATGAAATGGTTCGGCCATCTGATGAGAATGCAGCCGGACCAGACTGCATATGAGACTTTTTACACTAGAACATCTGGGAGGAAGTCGAGAGGAAGACCAAAAAAGATGTGGATGAATGCTGTAGCTGATAACTGCAAAAAAGATGAATAAATCCATCACTCAAGCCACCTGAGAAGTGCAAGACAAATATGGAAAACCATGACATTGGGTTACAACCTGGCATCAGTGAGACGACAAAAGAAGAAGAAGAAGAAGAAGAGAAAGAAGAAAAAGACAGGGCTATTTAACTGGCAGCCAAATCTGGCCCACGCAGGCCTAACAAATGACCCGCAGATCATTGTTGCTTGTATTGTATTAATGATCTTTCTATGCTTAGGCCTCTGGCCCCTGACGTTTCCCTTTTTCAAAATTTTGGACCCTAGGTAAACTTAGTTGAATAGCCCTGTCTCAAGGCATATTGGGATTATAGTAGGGCTATTGGTATATTTCATAGACCAATCGGCAATTGGTGGGTGATGTGCACAACATCCTGCTGGCTGCCTTTACTTCCCAGGACTTTACCTGGAACCCATTTAAGGCTAAGTCGTCATGGGAGCCAAGGTCATATGTAAAAAAAAATGTTTTTTTTTTAAATTTGTTTTTTTTTTTTACTTCTCATATTTCTGTTTTGTAACTCTGTGGTGCCGGGTTCAATTCCAGCTGTATGCACAGTTTGGCAGCAGACCGCATTGCATTGATTTCGATTGTGTTATCGAGACCCGACCATTTAGCAAGCAAAGACCCGACCATCTAATAAACATAAAATTGCCTAGTGAAATCACAAACAACCAAAAATTGCTTTGTTTGGTTGTGCAGTCTCTGTAAATTGTTTGGTTGTGCAGTGTCCTATAAATGATACACAACTAATTTGTTTCTTTTCTTTTGCAACTTCCAGTAATTGAAAAAAGTATAGCAAGTTTTATTATTTCAGATAGATTTTTAATTTTGTTTTTTATTTTCAGGGTAACTTATTCTTAGTGGAAGATGTAGAGAGAACATAATACAAATTCTGTAGTGGTCTCATGGAGCCTAAGATTTCTATAGCGAGACCAGTTGTGGTACAGCTGTCATGAAGGTCAACATAATAAAATTCTGGAAGACAAAACATTGCCAGACAATGAAGCAGCTAATCAGAGATCACTTTCCTCCATAGGTGCCTGTCATTAAAGACATACAGCACTGTGGGAGGCCGCAATAAACTGTCAGATTTCAAGAAAGATGTGTAGCAGGGCTATTCAACTGGTGACCCGTGGGCTGAATGCGTCCCACTGAGGCTAGCAAGTGACCCACGGAAGCTAGCAAGTGACCCACAGAGGCCAGCAAGTGACCCAAGAATGCTAGCAAGTGACCCACTTACTCTAGCAAGTGGCCCATGGAGGCTAGCAAGTGACCCACGGAGGCTAGCATGTGGCCCACAGATCATTGCAAGTTGTATTACATTAATTATCTTTCTATGCTTGGGCTCGGGCCTCTGGCCCGTGACGATCTGCAATTTTCAACTGTTTGACCCCTGAGTTAACTTAGCTGAATCATCATATCTTCATATGCCCTGCCAAATGGCGTAGGCGCTCATGCATCTTCACAGATTACGATCACTGGTTGCCAGGAACAGCTCTCTTGATGATATCCCTCCATGCTATCGTTTCAGCTCATCCAGCATCATCTCTCTTGGTCTGCTTCTACCCTTTTTCCACTGATCTTTCCAGTTGTCACAATGTTCTCAAAAATCTCTCTTCTCTTTATGTGGCAAAAGAACAGTGTTTGTCTCTTTCTTATTGTTGTATATAGAGATCTACTATCATTAGCTTCTTTCAAGCAATCGTTGTAAGTTAGCTGAATAGTCCTGATAAATAGAAAGCTTCAGACCAACCCAATAAACTTAATGGTGATGCTTTGAAGTAAAAATGATTGAATTTATCTGTTTAACAAGTTACAGATTAAAAAAAAAAAAAATTTCTTGATCATATCATTTTTGACATAAATCTGGTTTCCTCCTCTTTAGTAACTGGATCAGAGATATCTCAGAACTAGCAACACATAGTTTCTTGCATGGCATGATGCTTGGTGTCAAGCTAGCAGAGGCATGGATGGTGCATAATGCTGCCACCTATGTCTGGAACTACAACAATCACGTACTGAGTCAGAACCGCCACACAGAAATTGTCCCACACCTCAGCATGATTCTAGAAGGTTTAAAGCGTGTGGGGTATGCTGGGTATGTACCTTCTTGCTGTTTGTTTTTTCATGTTGCATTGAACAGCTATTGCTATCTGTAGTTGTTTTTTCCTGACTGGTTTCATCATTATAGTCCAGTGCCTTGCCAGCTGGCATCCTAAACATGCTTCTCCACAACATGGGACCTCCAACTGCATGCTGACACCCCTCCATGCCATGACAAAAAGCTGTCAAGTATCTTCTCACCTTGTCCTTCTCTATCTCTGTTTCAACAAATCTTTCCAGTGTTCACAACTTTTCTCTTCTCATAACATGGCCAAAACATGATGATTGTCTACTTCTGATGTTTATGAGACGTTTATCTGAGTCTTCTTTCCAAAATTTTGGGTAATCTGGCTGTCTGAGGAGTTTTTAGCATTCTTCTGTAAAAACCCATCTCTGGGGCATAAACATTTCTTTGAATTATTTATTAATTACCCAGGATTCACAGCTATTAGCTAACATTTTTCCAATTTACCACTTAATCATGTTTCTATGGCACATCTAGTTAAGTTGTTTAGTCTCTGCCATTTTTCATTAACATCTTTAATCTTTTTGTCCAGTGAAAACTAAAATAATGGGTCATAAAGCCATGGAAGGCCCCCCACCACCCCACCCCGCACACACAACTACAAATCTTGCCCAAAAATCCATATTACACAGGTCACTAATAAATTAAACAAGAATATGTTAATTATCTCCATTTTTTAGAAAATAAAATGACATATTTTGTCTCTGTTACTCAGGTCATAATCTTTTATAATCATTTAGTTTTTTTCCTTATCCTTATTCCATTCGTGATTTTTAAACATTGGTATAATATATAAAAAAAGAGGTCTAGCATTATTTACACAAAACACCGCAAGATGTTGAAAAGGGCCCTTTACTTTACTAAAGTACAATATTTAAATTCCAGTGAATCAAGAGTTGTGGATAAATTAAAGTCATGGATGTAAACTAAACTGAGGAAACCTGATAATAGTGTAAATAGAATGTCCTTATTCCCCATGTGGGTTGTGGGCCTCCATTGTGGGGAAAACAAGAATAGATCAACTGCCTCACCAATAGGCATGTCCTATGGGTCGACTAATAAGGGGCTTCCTTTGAAGTTGCCACAGCAGCTAGGAACAACAAAGTGCACACAAATAAGCAAGTAAAACAGATGTACACGCAAAACTCAGGCCCTGGCACAAGGCAAAGTCTTAATGGATGAACAACCAGGACTTTCTGCCAGAGCTTACAGCCGGTGAACAAAGGAAGAAGAAGAAGAAGAAGAAGAAGAAGAGGAAGATGAAGAATTTCCTTACACTGAAAACTGCAGATTAATAGGGTCAACTAACTACACATGGGAAAGAAAATGAGAGAGAGAGAGAGAAGTTAATGTGGAGAGCATACAGAGTGAGCAAAAGAAATGAAAAAACAAAACAAAACCAAGGTGGCTCATCATGAGCTCATTGAGGGCTTAGGCTCTAATGGAGGACAAAGAGTAGAGCTATTGTATTTCATGTTTGTTATGAGTGAGAAATTATCCCCTAGAGGAAAATTATTTCTCATTTTGCTTCATTTTTTCCAGGGAAACTGTGATGCTGGTAAATATATGCAATGCCTTGGCTCAGGGACTCATAAGGCCATGGATAGAGGTTAAGGCTTTGGAGAAAGCAAGAAAGGAAATTGCAAGCCCTAAGAGTACGACTACTACCAAAGCCAAAGGAGGCAAAACCCCTGTTCAAACAAAATCCAAGAGCTCTATTATGACTACTAATTCTGAGACAATTACAGAAGTGAAAAAGGCCATAGATGTAAGTTGTGCTACCTCGATAGATGTAAATTGTCATATCTGATGCTTGATGAGGACAAATGCTATTTGTGTAAATATTTATGAAATCTGATGTAAAAAGGTCACTGATGTAAGTAGGTACTTCAGTCAAATTTTTAAAATGCCCTCTACACCAATAAAACCAGCACAGTTAGATAGCTGTAAACAATTTCTTTCCAATGGTACCTCATTTAGGCTTGTATGTCATTTCTGAGCTGAGATATGTAGGTTTATGTGGAGATGAGATGTAAGAAACAGCCGCTAAAACTTGTGACCCAGAAACAAGAAGTTTTTGACTGCGCAACCTACTGCGCAGTTCTGTATCGGCTTTGTTGACATTGGACTGTCATTGGACAAGATGGCAGGCAATGAGACTCAGCTCACTCAGCGGCATGCGATTGCCTAAAAAATGTCACTGTACATCTACCTAGCCACGTACCAGAAATTTTTTTTTATACACAAATGTAAAATTGGACGGAGAATTCAATTATAACTAGCATTACCGGGTACAGTAACAGTTAAAGCCTATAGCCAACCTCGAATTTACCGCTATTTTCAATCAAACTGATGACTAACAGAAAAACAGAGAACGTCCGGCTTTCGTAGACATGCGCTGTTAATCGAGTTCCTTCCCGCCGTTTTCAGCTATTTAGAGTGGGTGAAAACCACACCAATCGCAAAATTTCATGAGAGATTAGGACCCATCCCGAAACCCCAGCCGACATTTCCGAAACAAGTTTTAAACAGTTTCTATGGTAACGGAAATTGTCGAAAAGATTGCAAATTTCCGAAACTGTAGTGCCTAATGTAAGCTGAGATAGCTGGATAAGGTCATCAATTTTCAACTAATCAGAACCAAATGACACCATCGGTAAATACTTACCTACTTGCCACTAGATATTCTGAGCAGTATTCTAAGCAGATTGAAGCTGCCGAGGTGTAGAGGCTAGATGCTCACCTGCAAATCTGAAGGTCGTGGGGTTAAGTCCTGACAGAGCCAGATTCTTTCTTCAGAAATGACCTTAGCTCCCAGGGCACCCACCATCCAGCCTTAAATGGGTAGGAGGCAAGGTCCTAGACAGTAAAGGCAGGCAGCTTGATGCTAACCACATCACCCACCAAGTGCCAGTTAGTCTATAAAATATAGGTCTAACCCCTTATGCCCAGTAGGCCTGAAGTAAAGTAAAGACCATTTTTTAAGCAGTGGGACATTAGGTATATGAGGCTAGACTCATTTTTAAAGACCAGTCAAGCCTTCAGTGAGTGATGGGGGTCAACATTTGATGTGGTCAACATTTGATGTGATCAACATTTGATGTGGTCAACATTTGATGGGGTCAACATTTGATGTGGTCAACATTTGATGGGGTCAACATTATGCCAGCCGCTTTTACTTCTTGGTACCCATTTTAGGCTGACTTGACCTGGGAGCCAAGAATATCTTTGAAAAAACTCTCAATGCAGATTTAAACCTAAGACCTTTGGGTTAGTAGGCAGAGCATAAATCTACTACACCAGCAGTAATTTTTGACCTACTTACTTATATATGCTCTATAGTGTAGAAATAATTAATCAATATCAGTAATTTCTTTATCATACTGTGTTTACTATTACAAAGTGTAAAACCAAACAAACTTCAAGAAAACAGTGTAGCATAAGTAATTGCAAATTGTATGGTTACTTCAAATATTCCTTTGTGAATTTGTTCAGAGATAACGGTAGACATTGGATGATGATAATCTAGAGTGGGGGTGGTGTCGAACAGTGTTAACCTCCACAATTCTCAACAAATGTATGATCTTGTTGATTAGACCAGGCACACTTTATTAGTTTTTTTACCATTATAAATTAAGCTTTAAAAATAATTTTGGTGTTGAATACGTATGTTAAATAAAATGTAGAGGACTTTATATATATATATATATATATATATATATATATATATATATATATATATACTAGCTGTACCCGGCCATGCGTTGCTGTTGCTCATTTTGGCTAACTGGAAAAGAAAGCGCACGCGTCTAAAATTGGTTTTTTGGCAATCAATGTCTGGGCAGATATAGAGATAGTCTGGTTTGCCGACTCTAGAACACACAACATATAATTGTGTCTTTATATTAGTGATCGTTTAAATTGTATTATTATAAATGGCTATTTGTTATCACATGCTAAAGCTCTTTGTATTTTTTAGAAAGCTGAAAGTAAAGTTTACTACCGTACTTTAAAAAAACCCAACTAATTCGAAAAAAAAACCAAAAACCCAACCAATTAGAATAGCAGAGATAGCATTATTGAAAAAAAAAAAAATTTTGAATTTAAAAGTTTACTGTTCAAGTTAGGATGTTTAATTATGCCCCCAACAGAAAAACTCCTTACCAGGGGTCGAACCCAGGTCTCCCGCATGACAGCCTGACATTGTAACCACTTGGCCAGCCACAACTATGGTGTAACTACTACCCCTGCTGCTACTATGAGCGGATTAATCTTGTGGGCAAGGCCGTCACTGTGACTTTTAGCTCTCTCAGTTAACAATTTCTATCATCCCCCCCCCCCACCACCCCCTCCAGTCTACTGACTACTCCTGTCTCCCTTACCAAAGGAATGCCCACATCTTTACATTTCCATACAATCTTTTAGCAGTTCTTCGGCCCATAACGACAGCTTCATGCAGATTTCTGAGGTTAACAGTCAAATTTCGCCTACCAGCGTTAAAAAAAAAAAAGCGTTGTGAGCGTGGCAACAAAATCAAAATGGATTGTCGATAAACAAAACGAAGATGCTGATGTGATTATTGCAGGAGCTTTGTAGTTTGCGCTTTGTGCAGCACTCTTATGTAAAAACAAGCGTGTATTCAAATGCAACTTTGTGCGAAAATTTCAAAGCAACAAGGGAAGAACTTTAGGAGATTAAATATTAGTCACAAACGGACATGTTACATTCTTTTTTAAATAGATATATGCATACATACATACATACATACATACATACATACATACACACACATATCAGGTATGCGATGCTGGAATCATAGAGATGAATAAAATGACATACTTTAATTTTTGCAACATTAATTGATAACGTCAAATTGTTATCTAAATTTAGCCATTACTTTATTGTCATTGTTTAGATATGTGAGTTTGCCATGCAAGAGACCAGTGGAGACAGTCCAAGTAACTCAGTCCCTATATTTCATCGTCTGCCCCTCTTGCAAACATGGGTCCAAGCTAAACAGTTGGCAAAACAACAAATATCCAAGACCTTTGGCTCAAGCAGTCAGGTAGTTGAAACATGTCACATATTTTATCATTGCTTTCACTTTCACAGCTAGTTATCTTTTTTATCTTCTTCGTGTACATTGTCTAGAGCAGATCTGGTCAGTCCTGACTCTCCAGCCCTCACTCTTAACCCTCTCACTCATCTGATTCTTCAGTCCTGACACTCCAGCCCTGTCTTTCTTAACCCTCTCACTCATCTGATTCATCAGTCCTGACACTCCAGCCCTGACTTTCTTAATCCTCTCACTCATCTGGTTCTTCAGTCCTGACACTCCAGCCCTGTTTTTCTTAATCCTCTCACTCATCTGATTCGTCAGTCCTGACACTCCAGCCCTGTCTTTCTTAACCCTCTCACTCATCTGGTTCTTCAGTCCTGACACTCCAGCCCTGTTTTTCTTAATCCTCTCACTCATCTGATTCGTCAGTCCTGACACTCCAGCCCTGTCTTTCTTAACCCTCTCACTCATCTGGTTCGTCAGTCCTGACACTCCAGCCCTGTTTTTCTTAATCCTCTCAGTCATTTGATTCTTCAGTACTGACACTCCAGCCCTCTCTGTCTTAACCCTCTGTCTTTTAATTCTTCGACTGTCCAACCCTTTCTGTCTTCTGATTTTTCAATCTTGACTCTCAAGCATATAAATATATATATACAGGCAGACCTGCAAACACTTGGAGTCACTAACTTGAAAAAAAAAAGACTAATCACAGAGACGTAGAACTATCATCAGGGAAGGCTCGCTCATGGGCCACTCAAACATTCAAGACCTACAACAGATTGCAACGAACCGCCATGCATGGAGAGTCATGACCTCTGCCCTATGTGCCGCACTCGACACAAGAGGAAAGACTAACTAACTAACTAACTAATCACAGAGATGAATGGAGGTTGGTGATATTTTTGCAGAAGTGATGAAGAAAAAGTTTATCAATGTATACATTGTGATTTCATATTTGTTTTTATACATTTTTATACACAGAACAACAGTGAAAGTCAAAGTCAGATGACTAGATCAATTGTTGCTCTGGAGATGTTTGTGCTCAGTCGAAATGGAATTATGGAGTTCAAGGATACCCCTAATTTAGAGGAAGTAAGTGTAAATCAGTTCCAGGTTGCTTGACTAATGGATGGAGAGGATATGGTGTGAGCTGCATTACTGTTAAAATTAAGTAGGATTTGGTGGGAGCTGGATGAGAGTTTTTGCTACATCAGGAAATAATAGGCGGCAGTTCGAGAAGATGAAAAAAAAAAAAGAATTATGAATCTACATAATTTATAAAAGTTATCGTTCGCTTGTGCTGTCCTATTTTCATTTCTATCATGTTTGTCATTGTATTTGGTCAGGTAAAGGTTGTTCTATAATAAATACTACTGTTGTTATGTGAATTGTGTGGTCTTCACATAGTCACATAAGCCATGGCATACAAGATGGGATGGTCAGTTACCTTCTCATCATCTTCTCAGAAAAATTATAATGCTGCCACTTCTGGGGATCGAAGCTGGACCACTGTTCTGGCAGGCAAGTACACAAATAGCTATACCAAAGCAGCACTGCTTATAGGCATGTAGTTGGAATATGCACAACTATGTTAAAAAAAATATAAGAAGGAGAGAAGCATAAACACACTCCAGTGAAAAAGTGGGAAGTTTAGGAGGAGAGGAATTTTCTGACGAAGGGGGTATAACACACTGAAAAGAGATGGAGAAAACAACAGTAACTATCCAGTATAAAGGAGGAAGGGGGAAAAAAGTAAAAGAAAGAGTGTGAACCATGGAGGAGTGCAATTTGGATGTGTTCATTATGTGTCATAAGGTCATCTTACATTGAGATTACTGAATGATGTGGTAAATAATATATGCAATACTGCAATAGTGTGTAATAAAACATTTAAAGAAGAATAGATAGAGGAATGAATATACAGTATTCAACAAAACTGCTGTACAGGTAGGCCATAACAATGTAAAGTTCTTGAGTTGTATAGTGGTTAAGTCATTCGGATCACACTTTGAAAGTCGTGTGTTTGATTCATGCACAATGTCACTGGGATCACAAGTGTAATTTTTCTGTCGGCTCCTGAAGATAGCCACTGGAGTTTCAGAGTTTGTGCTTTGTGCAGTACTTTTGGTAGGAAGCTCTTTGTTCTGCAGAAAGAGATTAAGCTGTATGGTATAAAGCCCCAGTGCATTGTAGTTAGTTCTCTTGACTTTAAATAAAAATTTTTTTCAATGATTAGTTTTGCATTAGCACATGATACAGAGAGTTCAGCTAAATTTACTTTTTGTATTTTTATTTTCATCTTAACATCAAAGAAACTACAACAGCATGATGTTTCTATCGTCAAGGAGACCAGAAAAGCAAGAAGCAGAAGCGTACACCTCCTTTGACATCTGAAGTGGTAAAAGAGGAAGTGAAGAAGAAGATTCTTATCTTTGAAAATTTAAATTCAAAGTTTTATTCTTCCTAGATTTCTATGATGGTTGAGTTTGCAAAATGGACAGACAAGTTTGTGGAACTGATACTTTGGACTCGGCTGACATTTTTGGCATTTGAGTTACACATCCACACCTTGGTCATGCAGTGCAGCTCAAAAGCTCTGAGATTTTCGGCATTAGGGACCCAGCCTCGAAACAGAAAAATGGACCTGTAAGTTTAAGAAAGTTTAGATTTTGTCCATGGCCAATTTTACATTTTAGCCCTAATTCTCTTCAGTATATAAATTAAAACATCTACAGTTCTTATTTACTTAACTAAAATTTTGAAATTTTAAATTTATGTATGAATTTTGAAAATAGAGGTAGAAAATATTAGGCAGTCACAGTGGCATAATTGTTAAATTGTTAGTTCATTTGGTTATCAAAACAATGGTATATTTTAATGGCATGATTCCCCCCCCCACCCCCCACCCCCCCCCCCAACCCACAGGCTAAATATGTCTGGGTGCAAATATGTTAATGTTAAAGTTGAGAGGATCGACTTCATTGCACTGGATTTTAATCTCAGAAGGCTCAGTCTCTCGAATGGCTTGCACCTGCCAAGAGTGTTGCACAAAGTATAAACTCTGTAGCTCTGGCGATGATCTCCAATAATCTCTGTAAAACAGCAGTATTGAACTGAATGATGTGTCCTTGAAATGAACCCAGGATCTGCAGAGCATGAGGCCATTCCTGTGATAACTTTATTAGTGTAGAGATTTGTCAAGGAAAAATAATGCATAAATAGCTAAGTTACATTCATTTCCATTGAACTTTGCCAGTCCAAGGCAGCTGGTAATTTAACTCGTTCTGTTCCAGTCAGCTAAGCTTGAAAGGAATAAATACTTTAACCTGAAGAAGTTGAACAAAGACACTATGGGACAGAAGTGGTGTGACTAATAATTTTGATACAGTGTGTACATTTGACATGTGTCTGTGATGAATAACAGTAAGAACACCATATTATTTAAGAAACTTATGGTGAGTGGTTTGGAACTGAAAGAGTTGAAGATAAATCCAACATAACCCCATAAATAAAGTTTAAAAAATATTCTGGACTATTACTATTTCTTCTGTTGTTAGCAGTCAGTATTCAAAAGAACAGGAATTGCTGAGCTATCTTAGTGTTCTCTTTCTTGCTACCTTCCATCGAGCTAGTTCACGGATGATTCTGAAATAAGCCGGTGCTCATTATGTGATCCTGGGTTGACATCAAAGCCATGCTGGTCATGAAAAATAATTCTTAGGGGAATTGAAAACCCAGAATGCTCTTTTAATAAGCTAACTCACAAACCACTATACTACAAAGGCCGTATAAAACCCCATAAATAATTATTTAACTAGAGTTGATCTTAATCTCTTAACTACCATTGTTTTACATTAGATATCTCGCTGTGTGAGACTACTGGTAATATTTAGAGAAAAAGAGTGTGGGAGGCAGAGAAAATAAAGAAAGGAGAGGGGGAAAAGGCTGAAAAAAGAAAAGAAAAAAGAAAGACAGAGAGCGACTGCATGAGAGAGAGAGAGAGAGAGAGAGAGAGACAGACAGACTCAGTTCTCTCCCTCGATACGATAAACCCGCAGCAGTGTGGTTATTCTTTTGTTTGTCTATTCTTCATTTCTTCTGTTATTAGCAGTCAGTATTCAAAAGAACAGGAATTGCTGAGCTATGTTAGTGTTCTTCGTGGGCAGAGCCTGATGGAGACCATGCCAGATAGAGATTCTGTGCGTAATGATGCTTTGACTACTTTCCTGGACAGTGCCAAGTAAGTAGAACATATTGTTAGTCTATATGTTTTATTTACTTATTCCAATTGAAAGATTTAATTTTTGTGCTTCATTATATGTTAAGTTAATGTAAATTCTGTACAATGTACCGGACAAGATAAGGGAGATTTACCAAGAAAAAATTGTACTCCCTCGAAATCTGAGATGGTTTAAAATAAAGTGAAAAAGATGAAAGCATTATATATATCTTTTGTGTCTTTTTTATTTAAGTATGAAGGATACGTCACTTTTACGCATTTATAGTTACAATAAAGTAGCAAATTATAATTTGTAACCTTAGAGATAAGATGTTTGAGAAGAGCTGCAGGAGTTACCAGAAGAAATCAATGCAAGAATGAGATCAGAAGGGAAAAAATCAGCACAGAACAAATTTTAAAATAATATACAAAAACAGTAAACCACTGAGAGAGAATGCCTTGTGGCGCCTACCAGACAAATAAATAGTACACCAAAAAGGAGAAGGATGTAGAGGATAAGGTAGACCAAGAGCAAGATGGAAAGGTAACATCAGAGAACTCTGCATTACCACACTGTGTATATGGCTGAGGTGGCCAAAAGAGAAAAAAGCAGAATCTTATATCTCCCTCAAAACCAGAAGCCATAGAAGGAGAAGTTAAGAAGAAAAGTTAGAAATATATCTTTTGTTAAACTTTCAAAGCTTTACTCTATAATTTATCTTTGAGTATATAATTCTTTTCCTCTCACCATGTGGTTAATGTAATTTGAAAGGTTTGCAAGAAGTGCAGGCAACTATGAACTTGTTATGGCAGCTGCAAGACACTTTTGGAATGCCTGCCTCCCATTGGTCTCTCAGCCAAATAAACGGAAGAATCTCAGAAAAGCACTCAGGATAATGCTGGAATGTATTGCTGCAACAGCTGACACATCCAAGAAACAGGTTTTTGAATGATAGATGTTTCTGTAGTTGTTCTTTTTGTCCTGTAAGAAAAAGTTAACCCAATTCTCCAGGAAGCTGCATACATCCCGGGTGTGTGTGCTGAGTAATTCTTTGTGCATGATCTGGCGGGTCGAGGCAGGCTGATTACTCAGACAGTGGTTTAAGTCATTGCAAAACTCTCCTGTGTGTACAGTTACCTTCATATTCATCCCAGGGCATGCAGGCATTGTTGGTGACGAAAGAGCTGATAGACTGGCAGGTGCTGCATTAATTGAAGATGGCCGGCCCATGGATTATGCAGACATTGTCATTGCCCTTAGAAAGATAGGATGTTCTAAGAATTTTGGAAGCAACGTGTCCACATCACTTCTAAGAATACGAGAATTGGGAGTAAAGATCGGCACTGGACGCACACAAAGTCTTTTTAACCAACGTAGGACTGGCACTATTAACCATGCGACGCTGATGAATATGTTGAGAGGGGAATCTGAGCGCCTATGAATGTGTTCGAAGTGCTGTGAAGAAAATCTAACTCATTACTCATAACTCAACTCATACATCAGGAGCCTCTCTTGGCAGTGGTGAAATGTTGCAAGCTAACTTGACTTGGGCATGTGGTGAGACACGATTCGATGCAAAGACTGTACTTCAAGGAACATTGGGGAGGGGGGGGGGTAGTTGAAGAAAATTAGGGCAAAGAAGAACCTGAAATGACATCATCAACGAATGGACAAGACTAAGTCATCATACACTTATTCATCAAGCAGAAGACAGAAAAAGATGGTGGGTTTTATGTGCTAGTGCTTGCACATCAGTACACCTCCACGACCCTAATGGGTCAAGGGTCATGTTATGTTATACCAGCACTTCTAGTAGGGTCAGATTTCCTTCAAATGCCACTTGATCTGATTTTTTACAGTGACAGATTTGCGGGATGACTAGTTAACACTATTAGCTGTGTTTGCACCTGCGCAGTGTTTATGAGGTCAGAATATTTATATATTTACTAAAAGTAGCAGGAGGGGGGGGGGGGGGAGTCTTTTTGTTGTGAACCAATTTTTTTTTAACAATATTTGTGTCAAATCTTCCCTAACCTCAGTAATAGAGGTCACAGCATGAGTCACCAGATACACATTTTCTAGGCCCTGGAGAATGTATTCCACTGAATGCTCCACTTTATTTCTGATTTATTAACTACTCCCTTTATATCTCTTTTTAAAGCTTGAAAGACAAATGTAAAATATAGATACATAAATAATGTTTTAAAAAACAAATGTGTTAGTGGCCTTTGTAGCATGGTTGTTGTTTTAAGGAATTATTTTTTTTGAAATTTCCATGTGTTCCTGACCCATTTAATTTAACATTCCCAGGCCAGAAGGGTTAAACCTTCCTTTCTGCTGACAGTACACTGACTTACCAGCATGTCAGCCTAAAGTCTATCTCCAGTTGTATGGTTTCGACTGTGGTGTTACAGTGACTAAGGAAGTTGCTTGCCTGTCCAGTCATCTTGACAAAAGAATTAAAAAAAACTATTAGCAAAACAAGGAAACGAAGCGGACATTGCAGTCTGAAAAATGATCACTTCTTGTTTGCTAAATATTAGAAACAGAGCATGTCTTGCAGAATTACTGACACCGACCTTGATAGTCATAGAAAGGAAAGCGGTCCTACATGAGTGATCCAGCATGACAAACTGTGGAAGACGTCAGATGAAACTTCCTATTTGTGATTCATTCTAGTATGGGTGTGTAAAAAAATAATCGTCACTAATGATGATGAGGAGCATAATTTTTATCACATAAAAAAAAAATATTCAGAAATGATCAGACAATAACCTCTTCATTGTTAGCAACCAATAATAGCATGTAGAAATAACAACTTCTATCTGTTATAGCAGACTGTGAGTTAGCAAATGCTTTGAGCAGAAAACCTCTAGCAGCACAGTAGGGTCTTTCTGTTTTGGAGTATTCTTTTCTCCTCTTCTTTTTGTGTGTGTGGAATGTCTCATTTAATTTATTTCACAATAATTCTTTTCGTTGACTGCCTTTATACTGCAGTCAAATGTTATTTCTTCCTAGATTGTTTTGTCTATGCCTACATTGAGGTTTGATTGTAACCCTGGGCATCTAATTACTCCTGTCAATTTGCTAGTTTCCTTTAGAGTTTGTCGTTTAGAATATGTCTAATTTCATTGAGTATTCATGATTCAATTATTACATTCTGTGCTGTATAATCAGTGTATATATGATCATTTGAACATTATGTGAGTACAGTTCAGCATTTGTTACTTATTGTTGTTCAACCAGTGTAATCGAGCACTTCTAACATTTGTTACTTATTGTTGTTCAACCAGTGTAATCGAGCACTTCTAACATTTGTTACTTATTGTTGTTCAACCAGTGTAATTGAGCACTTCTAACATTTGTTACTTATTGTTGTTCAACCAGTGTAATCGAGCACTTCTAACATTTGTTACTTATTGTTGTTCAACCAGTGTAATCGAGCACTTCTAACATTTGTTACTTATTGTTGTTCAACCAGTGTAATCGAGCACTTCTAATATTTGTTACTTATTGTTGTTCAACCAGTGTAATCGAGCACTTCTAACATTTGTTACTTATTGTTGTTCAACCAGTGTAATCGAGCACTTCTAACATTTGTTACTTATTGTTGTTCAACCAGTGTAATCGAGCACTTCTAACATTTGTTACTTATTGTTGTTCAACCAGTGTAATCGAGCGCTTCTAACATTTGTTACTTATTGTTGTTCAACCAGTGTAATCGAGCACTTCTAACATTTGTTACTTATTGTTGTTCAACCAGTGTAATCGAGCACTTCTAACATTTGTTACTTATTGTTGTTCAACCAGTGTAATCGAGCACTTCTAACATTTGTTACTTATTGTTGTTCAACCAGTATAATCGAGCACTTCTAACATTTGTTACTTATTGTTGTTCAACCAGTGTAATCGAGCACTTCTAACATTTGTTACTTATTGTTGTTCAACCAGTGTAATCGAGCACTTCTAACATTTGTTACTTATTGTTGTTCAACCAGTGTAATCGAGCACTTCTAACATTTGTTACTGTTTTGAGGATAATGATGTACCTAGTAGATAAAAAATGTTTACTCTTTTCTTCAGCTGGTAATTAGGTGTCTAGGTCTTATTACCATACAAGGGAGAGCTGATGATACCCAATTATGTAAATCAACAATCATTATTTTGAATGCATTTTGTTGTTATATTATTCTATTCACCAGAAAGCTCCCGCTCAAGCTAAAAACAAAGACAAAAATAATGTTGAAGAAAGTATTAAAACAGACGAGGAAAAGAAAGACAACAAAAGTGGGATGGAACAAAGGCCTATAGGGAAGACTTCAGAAGTGGTCAGAATACCAAGTGAAGCAACTAGGAGAGAGGAAGATGACCTTAAACTAAGAGCAGCCATGTATGGAGTCTTGTTTCAGGCTTATGCCGATGAGGTAGCGATGCATGTTAGTTTATTTAATGTATTGTTGAATTGAAATAATAATGGATTTAAAATAAACAAGTTTAAACAAAGCATTAATTCATTTCTGGCGTAATGCTGACTACATTACCCACCCAGTGCCAGTTGGTCTGTAAAAATATGGGACACTCTTCCCATATGCCCGATGCGCCTAAGGCGTGAAGAGGGATCATTACTTACTTTATCTTTTTTATTAATTCATTTCATTTTTGTCTTTTAACCACAACAGTTTATTTTTTGAAGAAGTTGAACAGACTCCTCATGTGGGAGGATTCAAGCCAAGTTGGGAAAAAATAAGATGGACAATGGTATATGTGGAGAATTTAAACAGCTTCGACCAAATAATTATATAAGCAACACAAATTTCCCTCATATGTTACCAAGTAACATAATTGAAGTAAATACATTATCTTACCTCTTATAGGTATATAGACCTATATTTTTTAAAACCAAATGACACTCAATGGGTATTGTGGTCAGCTTCATGCCAGTTCTATATTTTCCATAATTGATAATAGCAATATATTATTTTTCTTCATTTGTAATGTAAAAAAATGTGGGTGAATGTTATCTAGATTATATATAATAATAACATAAAAGAATATCATCAAAAAAACTGGTCCGTAACACCAGTGACCAAGATCTATGGAGAGACAAGAACACCTTTGCCATCTGGCAAGCCACATTGTGACTGTGATAACGATTATCTAAATTAAACAAATTAATAAGAAATTCCACCACCTTAAGTAAGCTGTGTTGTCATAATGTGTATTGTGTTGTTTTATGAATACAGTAAGTGTTTGACACAGTTTCTGTGTTTTGTGTTTACCTTGGTTGTTTACAAGCTTCATTGTCTTGTCCTTTGAGTTTTTCTAGTCAGTCTTTGTTGTATTTAAATCTCCATTGATAAAGACTTTGAGAGACGCAGTGGTCTAGTGGCTAGACACTCGCCTGCAGATCGGAAAGTTATGGGTTAGGTTCCTTACCGGGGCCAGACTTTTTTTGGTCAAAAATGACTTTGGCTTCCAGGTCGACTCAGCCTTGAGTGGGTACCAGGTACAGTCCTGGGAAGTAAAGGCATCCGGCATGATCCTGATCACATCACCCACCAAGTGCCGTTTGGTCTATAAAATATAGGTCTAGCCCTATGTACCCAATACACCTGAAAGGCGTGGAAAGGGTCCTTTACTTTACTTTACTTTTCATAAAGACTTTAGTTGAAGCGTTGGGTTGCATTTGTGCATGTCTTTTCCATTCACTCCGTTGGGCTTTCTAGCCAGTTTGTGTTGTATTTAGTACTTCTTGTTACCAGCTCAAATCCAGTCAACCGTATTTACGTCATTATTTCAAAAAGTTGGTATTGGAGCGTTCTGCCATTTTATCCAGTTAACAGTGACTAATTAATATCTATAAAACAATTAATACCTATAAAACAAATAATATCTATAAACAATTTTTAATGAGCAGGGTAGATGGACAGAGGCTCTTGAGGCCATAGACAAGGCAGTTTCTGAATTGCCACGAAGCAATCACAAACTGTAAGTATTATTTTTAAAATATCCTTCATATTTATTTGAATGTCTGGAGCACAGTAATTTTGAAAGTTCAGTCTGTTGTGGGGTGTATAACGAAATACACTGTAACTCACCTCATTACCCAGCATTCTCTGAGCAGGTTTTATAAACTCTCCTTCAAAATTCTTGCCACACGTCCACGTCATGCATCTTAGCTGCCTATTGCAGCATTAACAAAGATGGCAGCTTCAAATTAGAGTGCATCTGCCTGAAAACACATACATATTAACAGTTTTAGAGCACCATTGAAATTTTTTTTTCAACACAGCTATGCACCGCTTTACAGGATAAACATTTGTCAGCATAAACAGGAAGCATTTCCTTATTAATTTCCTTTGCAGGGAGCCCCCCCCCCCCCCTCCTCTTACACACAAAAAAAATTCAGCAAAACAGCAAGTTTTTATTAGAGTGTACACTCAGTAAATACAGTCACCACTTTGTTTCTGTGTTGCGAATGCTCATGCAAAACCTAGCACCACCTAATGAGTGGAGATCTAAAGTTCGATGTTGCTGTCACTTAATGACACCTTTAGAAACCATCAACTGCATTTTCCTGCCATCCAATAACCATTTGTGACTTACTTTTTGACTTCCCCTCATATCGTGGGCAAAACATATTTTCTGCTTAGTCCTAAGCAATTTTGTTTTCTTCTTTTCCATTACTGAAACATTTCTCTGGATCAGAATGAGTGACAGTAAATTATATTAGTAACTGACTTGCAAGAAAAAGGAAAATCCCCTTTATTTTGTATTTCAAAAGTAAATAGATGACTGATATTGACTTTATTTTCATAAACATATATATATATGGGTGGGAATCACTGGGTGAAAGGGTGGTATGTCATTCGAGAGGTATTGTTGACCACTAAAAGAGGCGTCTCATGACACCCTCCGTAATGCAGCATCAAAATAAAGGGGATTTTCTAAAGCAAATCAATATTTTTCTGCCGTTTTTACTTTGAAATTTTGTTCAGTGCTATGTGATAACCTTGAACCTCTGAATGATAAACTAACACAGAAAGGTATCATAACTTTTGATTTTGTTAGGAAACTAAACAAACTTTAAAATTGTATTCTTAAATATGGATATTCATTACTCCTATGGTTGCAAAACCATGGTCAATGAAGATTTGTTTGGTAAAATTATGTCGTTGTAAACATAACACCTGCTGAATTCTTTTTTTTTCTCTTCTAACTGTAATATTATTTTAAAAAACTTATCACCAGATTCAAAATGTAAATTCTTTCCTCTTAAAAAACAAAACATATATATACTTTTGTAAGGATTAGAAATATATTACATTTTCGATCACCCCCCATTCCCCCCTTTTTTTTTTTTTGGGTACCCAATCCCCTTTGCCATATTTGTAAAGTGAGATTAATGTGAGCCAAGTCTGTAAACTTTTTTTTGGGCCTAAAAGAGTTAAGATGAGATGATGAGAACACTCTGGACAGATCAAAAGAGTAATGAAGATGTCGTGAAAGAAATTAATTGATTACCTACATCAGAAGGAGACAATGAACAGTCTGATAGTATGATATGGGAGATAACTTTCAGAAGTGACTGTGCAAATGCATAAGATGTCTGTGGATAGACATGACTACCAGTGCCATACAGCATAGACCTGAAGAAGAAGAAGAAGAAGAAGAAGAAGAAGAAGAAGAAGAAGAAGAAGAAGAAGAAGAAGAAGAAGAAGAAGAAGAAAAGGGTTAAATAAAAACTTTTCTGACACAAGATGTGATAGTGTGAACAAGTTGGTTGAAATAACAGTCCATCTGAAACATAAGAACTCTTTTTTTCCTCCACCTGTGTTGCTGCTGCGTCTGCTTCTTCAACAGTTTTGCATCCCCTGTTTGAGCACAGATTTAATGTTTTCTTAGACTGATCTTCAAACACAGAATTATGGTGAAAGCAACACTTGGACAGTCTATCCACAATGATATACAGAGATTCAAGGTATGTTTTCCTTATCAGAACGGTTATATTTTTGTCACTACACCAAAGTCACCTTAGTGCAGTTCTAGCTATTTTCCCTTAAGTGCATTTTCAGGATGTTTTTTCTGCAATTTGCTAAAGTCTCACATGTGAATTTCTTTGATAGAGAGGCAAAATGAAGTATAACTTTTCCCCTCAAATACACAATTTTTTTCAGATCTCACTGTTGAAATGCAAAAGTTTTAACATTATTGTGTGCATGCAGACAAGCGCCTCATACTACAGAACACAGGCACACTGAGAAGGTCAGAAAGGGGGCTTTCAATAATCGACCAGAATGAAACGAGAAAGGGTTCACTTTACAGAATCTCAAGTAAAGTTTGATGTGCAGCTAAAAAATCTTAATTAGCAACAAAAATCTACTTATACAACTACATTAAACACTACATAAAGAATACAAGGCTTAGAAACCCGGGTTACTGATGAAAAAAGTGAGAGGTGAATGTTATGGGAGCAGAGAGAGCCTAATGGTAAATGAAAGGATTTTTGTTTGTGGAATCAAGTAGTGATCACAGTTTGCATGTTAAACGATGTTCATGTCAAACCAGCCTCAGAATGAAAGCGTATCAATGTTTTTATGTGGACTAGGTGGCCAAAAACCAGTAAAGTTTGATGTGCAGCTAAAAAATCTTAATTAGCAACAAAAATCTACTTATACAACTACACTAAACACTACATAAACAATACAAGGCTTAGAAACCCGGGTTACTGATGAAAAAAAAGAGAGGTGAAAGTTATGGGAGCAGAGAGAGCCTAATGGTAAATGAAAGGATTTTTGTTTGTTGAATCAAGTAGTGATCACAGTTTGCATGTTTAATGATGTTGTGTGCCTTTATGTTCATGTCAAACCAGCCTCAGAATGAAAGTGTATCAATGTTTTTATGTGGACTAGGTGGCCAAAAACCAGCGGCACGACTCCAAGGTCCCCAGGAATTGATGGTTGCCTGCATCTACATGTTTATTTAAAAGATTACTGTTGTTTTTAAGGTCAACTTATACCACTTTTTTTTTTTGGGAGAAGGAAAGGAGGAGGGGGGAAATGATATTTAAAAAATGTGTTTATCTTACACCTGACAGGGATAAAATAGACTTCAAACTTCCATGACAGGTCTACACTTTGATCGCCGCTACCGTTCTTTGACTTTTTTCTACTTCTGTAACTATTTTAATGAACATTATTCCAGAACAAAACTCTTTTTTTTCTTTTCTTTTTCTTTTAGAAAGTTACAAATCAACCCCAGCATTTATAAGTTGTTTGTTGTGTGGTTTCAACTCAACACCAGCATTTATCAAAATTATTGTCCTTCGTGTGGATTCTGAGGCCCAAATGTGGGGGAAAACAAGAATAGACCCATTCTTCTTCTTCTTCTTCACTTCCTCTTTTACCGCTGTGGGTGTCGAGGGAGATATAAGGTTCTGTCTTTAGCTCTTTTGGCCGCCTCGACCATAGGCACATCGTGCTGTTGTAGAGTTTCTCTGATGTTATCCTTCTATCTTGTTCTTGGTCTACCTCGTGCTCTACGTCCTTCTTCTCTTTCCATGTATGTTTTGTATGTCACAAGGCATTCTCTCTAAGTGGGCAAACTATTTCACCTGCTGTCTTCATATGTAATTTAGAATTGGTTCTGTGCCGACCTTTTCTCCTATGAGCTCATTCCTGATCTTATCTCTTATGGTCACTCCTACAGCCCTTCTCAGACATCTCATCTCCATGGTTACTAATATTCTTTTATGGTTTGTTGTGAGTGACCATGTGTGGCACTGGTAGCACAGAGTTGGAATAAATATGCTTTGAATAAGATGTCTCTTTGTGCTGATTGGGATTGTCTTACGCTGTAAGAGGGGGGCTAGCTGTCCTAATACTTGGTTTGCTTTACTGCATCTAATGTTAATTTCTTTATCCAATTTCCCATCTTCGGTAAATGTAGTACCCAGATATTTAAACTCAGATGCCTGTTTAATGCCTTTGCACTCTATTGCTATGTTAAGATCTGTCTTCTTTTTTCCTATTGACATTACTTCTGTCTTTTCAATGTTGATTCTCATATTTTTTGTTTACATTCTTCATTCATGGATGTTTTGTTGCAATTTCATGGCTGTATCTGCTATCAAGGCCTGGTCATCTGGTCATTCATGGACTTGGCATTCTTGCATATACTGTCGATGTAGGTGAAAAACAGCAGTGGTGATAAGACACACCCCTGTCTTACTCCAGATGTTACTGTGAATGGATGAGATGTTCCCTGATTTATTCTAACTACACTTCTACAATCCCTGTATAAACTTTTGCACACTTCCATGAGGTGTTCGCTTACTCCATATCTTGCCATTACTTTTCATAATAATTGTCTGTCGACTCTGTCAAATGCCTTCTCCTGGTCTACGAATGCAACAAATAAGTTCTTATTGTATTCAATGTTCTTTTCTATTAACTGTTTAAGTGTGAAGATTGCATCTGTGCAGCTTCTATTTCTTCTAAATCCCATCTGTTCTTCTGCCAGCTGTGGTTCTATCACTGGTCTCAGTCTTGTTTCTATTATCTTGGCATACATTTTGCCAACATGGCTTAAAAGAGAGATGCCTCGGTATTGACCGCATTCTCGTTTGCTTCCTTTGTTCTTCCACAGTGGTATAACTATTGCATGTTGCCAATCAATAGGGGCAGTTTGTTGTACCCATGCTGCATTAAATATTCTGTGAAGCCATCTGATATATAGACCTATTGCCTGCCAAAAAAAGCATATTGTATGAGTCAACTAATTGGGCGCTTCTTCTGGATTCATAGTGCATCTGAGAGGCAAAGAACCAACAGTCTGCATACAAACAAGCCAGATCTGTAAAATGGATGTGCATGGTTAAGGGTTTGTTTTTATTGTTTATAAAATGAATAAGTATCATGGCACAAGGGTATTAACCCAAAAGTGCTCTGTTCTACTTCTAACTCAAGCCTAAGTCTGAAGAATTCTCAGCCCAGTGCATGAACTCCTTAGCACCGGCGAGGATCCAGAAATACTTAGGGTAGATTTTTAACTTCAAATTTTGCTTGGGCAGCGCCTTTAGACTATTCTTTTCAATTCATACTGCCAAGGGATTTTTTTATGTGTGCAACAGTACACATGGGTGTCCAATCCTACTACCCAAGACCAGGGGAAATTACTATAAGTCCATGTGAAAAGATCCCAGCCTTCACCGGTGCCGGAACCCGGGACCTCCAGCACTCACCATGCATTGAGACCACTCAGCCCCCTTGTCATGGATGTGCATGCTGCACTCAGGTTCTGGATCAAGACTAAAGTCTAGATGTGGACAAAAGGGGACAAGAATTTTCCATTGAATTTACAGCCAATTGACTGCAAAGAAGAAAGGAGAAGAATGTTAATGCAAGAGCAGTTTGAAACCAAATGCCAGCACCCGAATTTAAACTCTGGTATGTTGGATTTACGAAACTGTATTCACAATCTGGATGGCAGACCAGGAACGCAGATCCCAGATACCCCATTTAACCCTTGAAGATAGTAAAATCAGGGCCACAAATGTCAGTAAATTGTTTCAAGATTTTTACAATTCAGTTTTTTTAAATGTTTGTCTTGTGTCTGTTTTCAGGAGGAGCCAGAGGATGTTCTTGCTCAGATGTGGCATCGAGTTGCTCTTATTGCTAAAACAGAGGCAGATCAATTAGCTTGCTACCAGTCTGCAATCGAAGCTTTAGAGGTGTCCACTTGGTTCATTTCTTAGCTAAATGTAGATGTTGTTATTAGACAGTTGTCATAAAAATTTGTGGTATTCTGTTTGTAGTTTAATGTTTGGGAGATGTTAATTTGAAGTGGTGATTTGTTTTGTCGGCGAGTGAGAAGCAATTATCCTTTAGCATGAGAAAAAAGTTATTTTAGGAATTTTTAACAGCTTTTATATAGTAAAAGTATAGAAATTACACAAGTCAAGTTTTCATTATCTAGACACTTTCCCATTTTATGAAAGTCATCCGTACATAAGATTGCTTTGTAAGAAATTAAAATGTCATGAAAATCAGAAATATCACAAGAATACAAATCTGCATGCTGAAAATTTGTATATGACCTTTTTTCTTTACGGATGTGAAAACTTTAAAATGGGTCATGAAATGGTGAAGAAACTGGAGACGGTGGAATGATACTTTTTGAGAAGACTGCTGGGAATACTGCGGACAGAGAATAAAACAAGTACTAAGATACTGAAAGCTGCAGGTTTCACTAGATCACCTATCAAAAAGAAGAAAAATTTTTTTTTTTTTTTTTATGTTTGTATACTTTTATTTTATTAACATGAAAATTTTTCATCTTTCCTTGCTGTTCACATTATAGATACAAAAAAAAAAAAAATACTAGTTCATGCTTCTGTTTTGTTCTTTAGTAGTTCTATGTTATTTTCTTACACAAAAACAAATATAGATTTTAGGAGATCACAGTTTTCATACTAACTTTAGATGGTAAAATATTTTTTTTAATGATTTATAATCTCAAGAAATCTCAATTTTTGACCTTTTTTTTAAAAACTGCCTTAAACATAGCTGATTTTAGAGAGTTGTAGGGCAGGGAGGTCATGTTTAGCCTTGTGATTTGGGGCTGCATGCTAATGCAGAAGTCAAAACTGTGCATGTAGTCTTTACCCGCTTTGGACTGCAGGTTACACCTGGCTGGTGTAGCTTTTAAGGGTATCATAATTATAATTTCTTTGGAGGTTGAATTGGGTATCTGGGATCTACCTTCTTGGTTTGCTGTCCAGGTTGAGATTTTTGAAATCTCAGAATGGTATGATAAACCTTTAGGTAGCAACTGGGATGGGACAATCTAATCTGTCGATAAACTGTACAGGTCGAGAATTATATTTAGCCCCAGCATAATCCCATCAGCTGACTGAGTTTTCGTCTTAAGTCATTTGAATAAAAGCCTAGCATTCTATAACCATTGGCCAGACACTTCACAGCTTTCTTCACTATAGTATTATCAGATCATGCGGTATTGGCTTCTTTGTGTAACATACATTCTCTTAACTGTTTCAGTTGGTGTTCTTCAGACATTCTCCTAACTGTTTCAGTTCTTCAGACATTCTCTTAACTGTTTCAGTTGGTGTTCTTCAGACATTCTCTAAAGTGTTTCAGTTCTTCATACATTCTCTTAACTGTTTCAGTTGGTGTTCTTCAGACATTCTCTAAACTGTTTCAGTTCTTCAGACATTCTCTTAACTGTTTCAGTTGGTGTTCTTCAGACATTCTCTCAACTGTTTTAGTTGGTTTTCTTCAGACATTCTCTTAACTGTTTTAGTTGTTGTTCTTCAGACATTCTCTTAACTTTCAGTTGGTGTTCTTCAGACATTCTCTCAACTGTTTTAGTTGGTTTTCTTCAGACATTCTCTTAACTGTTTCAGTTGTTGTTCTTCAGACATTCTCTAAACTGTTTCAGTTCTTCAGACATTCTCTTAACTGTTTCAGTTGTTGGTGTTCTTCATGACCGTCCTGACAGTTCGGTCCAGCAGTAGTGCACTGGTGAGCATGATTTCCTACATGTCTGGTGATAAAAGCTTTCCATTTTGAGGGGAAAAAAAGAAGTCCCACTGCTCCTTAACAAGTTTGTTATAATAGGTGAACTATTAAATATATTTCCTTTGAAATCAGAGTGCATCTGATTGAGAGGCGAGGAACCAATAGTCAGCATATAAATGAGCCAGATCTTTGTTATGTGCTTGATATAACAACTGCTTTTTGCATTTGTTACACAGATGTGAGATAATGGAATCTAATTTAAAGGATTTTTGTTACTGTCTTTATATGAGTTGTTTCATAATAATAATTATTCTATTTTTACTTAGAATGAATCCAGTGCATACCAGAAAGCTGAGTACTTGCTGGAACTAGGACAGTGGTTGTATACAAATCAGTTTTCCTTAGAGGATGCCCAAGACCAAATAGGATGGGCTGTTGACATACTGCTTAACATAATATCTGTGGATTCACAAGGTAAAAATCACATGCTCCTGTGTGTTTGTTTGTATGTGTGTGCTCACATGCGTGCATGCGCGCTTGTAAATCTGCATAAGTGTATGTTTGCAATGCATGTCTGCAGATTCCTCAGTATTACTTATTTATTTAAAGATTTTTATTTATTCATTAATTTTCTTCTTTAATGAAAAAATACTGATACTGATCATCTTCTCTGTATTTTAAATTATTAGAAATGTTAAGGATGATTTGTAGTCAGAAGAGAGCTCAATTATTTTAAGAATTGGACATATGTAATGATGCAGTGTGGGTATTACCTCTAGAGGCCAGAGGAAACTAAATGTTTGTAAATAATGGCAGGTCATAGATTCCTTTTAGCGGAGAAAGGAAAACCTCACATAAAAGTAGAATAGGAGAGTGTCCAAAAGCAATCCACAAGTTGATAGTGGATCTCAGAGATTGGCAGCAACCCAAGAATCAAGGGAGGGAGTGAATAATTTTTAATTGAGTACCTTGTGTGAGTGTATGAGATATATAATTGAAGAAAAAAGAGACATGTTTTTTTTAATGAGTAAGACCTCAAGTGGCCTGATCACCGTTCATCTGTGCTAACTAGACTGCAGTGAATAGAGGTAAAAATAAGGATGATTGCAGTCAATCTAAATCAAAGAAATGAATCCAGTGAACTGACTAAAAAACTTAATGAAGCAACACGTTTTGGCTGGGGCCTTTCTTGACATAAACTGAACTACACAACTACACAACAATAACAAAGAGATGATTACTCCAACCACCAAAGGTCATGTGAGCGAAATCAAAAAAATCAAATAAAATAAAGGAAGGCTAGTAAAAATAAAAGAGATGATACATTATACTAGTAGGAATAAAAGAATAGTAGAAATACACATGTTAATGATCCATAATTGGTACTAATAAGAGACAGAATGAAATAAAGTGAACTAAGCACACAAATAATATGCCATTAGTAAAACTGTTTAGATGAAGGTATGCTTGACAGTGATGCCTCTTGGACTTAAAACACCTAGACTGTGGATGTGGTGATGTTCCAAAGGCAGGCAGGTGGGAGGATCACTAGAGCAAGATTTTTGTTGCTGTGACAGATATATCATCTTTGCAGTGAATAGAGCAGTGAAGAATGATATTACAAGCAGCTCTGTCTCAAGTAGACGTATAAAAGAATATGCAGTGAACCAGATTTGGGCTGTGAATAAGTCTGGTTAGTTAAAGATCGTGATAGAGAGCTTGTAAACATTTTTTCTATACAGTGTTAGGGACTAGAGATGGGCAGACTGGCTGTGTTGTTACTTGGTAATAAATGTCATGGAGAACAATGGAGTCTCATCAAGGAAGAGTGCAAATTGTGTTGTCTTTCTAGGTGTCTCTGAGGTCATTGTGAGTCCTGGTATACTGTGCTGACCCCACCACCCACTGTGCACAGCTAGTTAGAAGGTCATGAAAGGATACTGGTGGAGTAGTACAGCATACTGTGAATATAATAGCAAAGCTTGGTGTGGTTTTTGTGAGCAACTGGTTGGTTGTGAATCTTCCAGAACACTGAGTTCAGACTTTTGTGTTTGATGCAAGGGTCTTAAAGTTACCTCAGCACTGACAAGGCTTGCATTAAAGAAAAGAAAAAAAAAATTGAAGTTAGTTTCACAATCTGTTTTCCAACATGATCTCAACAAGGACTGTTGTCCTTCTCATCTCTAAACTTAGAAACCCGTGAAGTGTGCAAAACCAGTACTGTAGCTTCACACCTACAGAGGGACAAATCAAGATGTAAACTTGCAGCATTTCAGCGCAATAATATAACATAACCCTTGACCTGTTTGGGTCATTGACGTGTATCGATGGAAGCACTAGCACATAGAACCCACCAGTCTTTGTCTTCCACTTGATGAATAAATGTATGATAACCTAGTTCTGTTCATTTCTTGATGTTGTAATTCCAGATTTTTCTTTGCCCCCCTCTTCTAAGACTGCACACCAACCCCCCCCCCCCCCCCACCCCCTACCCACCCCCAGTGTTTCTTGAAGTACAGTCAGTTCAGCTCAACATGCACGACTGGATTTAGGCCCTGCTGGTGATGCTCAAGGGCATCAGAACCTGGGGTCTTAGGCACCTTGAGTTCTCCCACCCCCTCCCCAAATGTTTAGGGAAAGGAGCTAAGCTTGTCCCAGCCATGTATGTAAGTTCTCTTTTAAGGTTTTGTTTATACAGTTGGCGTCTGTAGCTTTGGTGTTGCAAAATCGCTTCATAACTGCGGGGTATCAGATAAAATTCCAGCTGCAGATGATCTGGCAACAGACTGCCTTGTGTTGGTGTCAGCAATTGTATTCAGAGCTGACCATTCCGGAAGCAGTGGCAGACTTCTGAATGTAAATTGCCTAGTGATATCACATCCATAAAAAAAAAAAGCTGGGGGTAGATTTGGCAACGTCCTGTAAAAGGATCTGCAACTAACATTTTGTGGGTATATGTTTGCTATTCAGCAAATTAGTATTGTTAATATTATTTATATTATTAAACGAAAGATCTATGTATAATAAAGAATGTGTATTGGCAGCAAACAGCAGCTATAAAAATTAACATCTGTTTAGGTACATTTCAAAGCATAAAGAGGGGCGT